TTAATAGTAGTACAAAAATTACTTTTTCTTAAATACGTTTGTTGTAGTTAGTGTATTTACTATAATAAAATATGTATGTTTGAAGTCTAGTCTCTTCTGACATACAAATAGTAATGTCTAATGACAAAAATCCATTTACTCACAGTTATAAGAAAATCATATACATATTACAATGAGCTTATACATTAGAGATCTGAAACTGACAGGAGAGATGATCTCAATGAATACAAAACAGTTATGCAAGTGGATAGTGTTTCTAGTCTTTAAATAAACATTACAAAAAGTTAATTGAACATTACTGTATTATATTAAGTGATATATATTACGAAAGTAACTTGAATATATCTATGAGGACATAAAAAAGAAGCAAATAGTTCCGTTTCAACTAACTCATTATTTTTAACTAAGTTTGTCAATCAGTCAATTAATTAATCATAACCAACGTGAAACTCGACATAAATCTGTACCAGTTCAAGAAGTCCTGTGAACATTAAATCATTACGGTAAGATTAAATGATCATGACAAATGTCAGAACAGTAGAAGTAGCAACAATTATCAATACTAGTAATAGAAATGATTAATCGTAGAAAATATAATTCGAGAAGAAGGAATGAATATGAGAAGTAAAATATATTAGTCGATGATAATTTAAAGACAAAAAAAAGATAAATAATATACTGGTTGAAAATGATTTAATCTATCAAATTTAATCATTTTAATTTTCAAAGAAAAAAAACAAACGATTTTATTTTCTCACCAGCTTACGAATAATAATAATGTGTGAAAATAATTCATTTTATCAAAACAATGAGAGAAAAAAGCAACAAACAAACACGCACACACACATAAACATTAAAAGTGATCATCAAGTGGAATAAAAAATAATAATAAAAACAGTAAATGAATAAATAAATCTGAAATCATTTATCCTAAGCACGCAATCATATACCAATGTACATAAAATAAAACACACAGACAAAAAAAAAACAATCAACATTAGATTCATCTAATGTCCAATGTTTATTGTATTACCTAGAATAGAATTATTTCATGCGTTAACACATTTATCTGGGATACGAAATAAAAAGACAATAATGCTAATAGTAATAAGATTATATGATAAATAATCTAATTTAAAATGACATTGATTATTCAGTTGTTGATATTTTGATTTCAATTTGATCAGCCTTGATTGGTATATGGTCGTCCTGTGCCCAATGTCTTAATAAAAACATTACGACACAAGTCAACATTGAATATATAGAATGTGGCTAGCAGTAGAATCCAGAATGTGTTTCGTCCTGTTTGGGAGTTATTAATTGAATATACTTGTATCCTAGAGTTGATGTTTACTCCAGGACTCTAAAATAGTACTGTTTGCTTTAAATGTCAACACGTTATCAACCTAGCTATTGAGTTCAGGTTGCCAGACAGCCACTACTAACCACATTTTATTTATTATTATGTTGACTTGTGTCATAATGGCTTTATCGAGGTAATGCCCACAAGATGGTCATATGTCAAATAAAGCTGATCAAATTTCAATCAAAGTATCAACAGTTGAATAATCCAAGTCAATTCAAATTGAATTAAAACTCATGCGCGTTGACGAGTGGCTATCTGGACTCAGTAGATAAGTGAGAAACGCAGCGGCGTTTGAAGCGAACAATAATGCGTTCGAGTACTGGAGTAAACATTTACTCTGGAATGCAAGTATATCCAACCGATAAGTCGCGAATAGGACGGAAGCGCATTATCAGTTCCAACGATGACTACTTCCCATCTATTCTAGATCAATACAAACTTTTTTATGAGTGGTTGATCACTGAGTAGTGACCAGCCAATGTTAAATATCTCTATCCAACAGGGGATCAGTCACGACCTGAACAGCTCAGTGATGACATTTTAGTCAATGAAGCTGGATGTCGTGGATTCGAATCCACCAAAGAATATCAATCCCATCAAAAATACAAATACGCCATGTAGGATTTCCTGTCGACTACCTACAACCCAGCTAATATACTTCATACAGGATGCACATATGTCAAAAGAGACTAACCAATTACAATTCCTAACATCAATGGGAATATTCATGCAACTAATAAATATAAAAATGAACAACTGATACCTTTAGTATTTATTATGAACAAAGAAATAATTTCAACAATTGTAGTTTTTCAAGTTGCAACACTTTATTTAAAAAACAAAATTAGCTTGGAATGTTTTATGATTATACTTATTCTGAAAACAATGTTCATTATAAACTAATATTAGATGAACATTAGTTAAAAGTCGATAAGCAATGAGTAGCTATATCTCATCAAAGTTAAGGCCTATTGTTCAATGAACACTCATAAGAACAGACAGAATCAATCCTAAAAATGATTTTTCATCAGCTGTTTCCCATGTTACCATGAATCATAAAGTTGCAATTCAATGTTAAGCGAATTACGTGTATAAATTAATAATTAAACTGTTGAATGAATGATAACAAATGAAAATAAAATTATATGTTAATCAAAGAAAGCTTTGTATGATTGATTCCTACCATGACATTTAAGGTGATGTAAAATTTTCTGTTACTTATCAGGGATTGAACGAAAAGAAAAATATATTTGATTACGTGAATACAGTTAAATTAACTAGTACAAATGTAAATGTTCATGGTTAAGAAATGTTTTGTTTTATATACAGTATACAAAGTAACTAAATATCAGTGATTGATAAGCATTACATTTGAAAATTACCAAGCAATCTAAGAAAATATCCTATATATTTGACTGGGTATATGGATATATTCATTAAATATCGTAAATACTTTGGTTTGTTGAATATATATAATATGCACTTGGAAATATGCACTTTGTATTCACACACTGAAATGCTCGATGATTATACTTTAAATGAATAATTAATACAGGGTTATGTAACTACCACAAGATATTTAAGTGAAAAAAGGCATCATATTTATTCATTGTCCATACTTCTTTTTCATATAATTAAGATCTTTAAACTGCATTGAAATATTATGACTATAGCTAAATTTTAGAAAAATTATTCAAATGATGGAAACGTAAATACCAAGTTTATTACAGCCGAAGAACAAGAAATATATACACATACAATGGGAATACTTCCATATCATTTACTCTCTCTCTCTCTCTCTCTCTCTCTCTCTCTCTCTATATATATATATATATATATATATATATATATATATATATATTTTGAGTCAGTATACAACTGAATTTCGCAGAAAAATCCAAATGTTATGTATATACATGTTTCCTATACTCACTTATATAATCAATATTGAATCAAAAACAATGTTAAGTCAATTGTTTCATTTAAAAAATGTTTTTCTAATTTTCATTGACAGAGACTAAGCAATGAAGTAGTTATCCCCCCTAGATTTTACGTTTCAATAGTGATTCTAGCTAATCTCAATCTATGATAAAAGTGTACAATTATTGTAACGGGAAAAGACTATTTCATAAATGAGTTAGGCCTATTCAATTCAATAAACTGATAAGCTTTTTCAAGAGGGAAAAAAACGGAAATAATAACATAGAAGCAAAATAATATTAAAAATCAAGAAACATTGAACAGGTGTTTTGTGGTGGTTTTGAAATTTATGAATGTTGGTATTAATCACCTCATTCAACGATATGTATAACTAATCAAGTTCGGAGCTGAAGACATAGATAAGGAGTGAGACAGATGGTCAGATTTAAAACTATTTTTCTGCACACAAGATTAGAAGAACTTAGCTTGCCGTTTAAAGGATATTGTAGGAACTGACGGTATATATAAGGGTAGCTAGGAGGGAATCCTGCTTTATCAGTTGGCGGCATCTGAGGCATCAATGAATCCCATGAAAGTAGTTTTCAAATTTATAGCCAGAGAGACATCAGATCTAATAGAAAGATGTTTGTCGTTTTGTCCAGGACAACTATAGAATGTTCCAGATTTCGTGAGGATTACGAAGAGAACGTGACATAGTTCTCTTTAGAGCCACTTTCCAAATGATTTAACAGACTCCCACTTTTATATCCCCAAAACAGTAATTTTTCAATAACGAGTTGACATAAAGGTATAGTACGTGCTCGAATGTCACGAAAAAATCATTTCCATCGAAATCGCAGGTACATTGTATTAACGAGTTTCAATAAGTACGAAATCAAGGTCAAGAATGTCCCACTAACTACCTCCAAACATCTAAACATTTTCCCTATTCACTTGCTACTGTAAAGTTGAACGATTTGAACAATGTACTGATGATATATGCGGGCAGAAATATGTATTTTCTAAACTGATGTGTAAGAACTCAATGAATTGTCATACAATGGAAGCAATACATGATCCATACATTTATCCCCACACTAATAAACACTCTTAAAGAATCTCTGAAGACTTTGTTCTTATTTCCCTGTTAAAACATTTGTTTGCCACTTTATTCGAAATGTAAGATGTGGGATAAACATCATGCATTCCAACAAAATGATGGTTGTACATTATCGTGAACCGATCACACTTATAAATGTAAATCATTTGATCCGAACCCAATGGGACTGACAATTAAGCGATCACCACGAGACCTAAAGGTTCTGGACCGATGACGAGTCTCATTACAAAATGAAACAGTTTACTAGTACTTGTCTATCCAAGACTATGATCTAAAACGACACCGAGATCAAGAACTTTCATACCTCCTCCTTCCTTCATTGAATTTTACCTCCAAACTATTCTCCTATATAATTTTTGCTACTGATTAGTTTTCCAATGTGTTTTCTTTAATTTTAATCATTTTAATGACAAGGTAAAGCTGATTATAAAAATTCTACGTTTACTCTAAAAACATAATTCAACGATAAGAACCTGTTCTGTAACCATAAATAAATAATTCTAATTCAATATTTTGTCATCTCTATGTACAACTATATAAACTGTTCAATTAATATAACAAGAATAAATGAAAAACAATAACACATTGATTTACTTATTCACTGATCGTTTTGTACTTGAACGTTCTTTAGCATGGCTTGTATTCAGTTTATCTGTAATGATTGTATGATTGCGTAGCATGGTGACAGCATCTTTTTCTTGTCGTTTCTGTAAAATTTCTAATTCTTTTGCCTGTTTTTTAATCAATTTTTGATACATTTTATCAGTTTGTAATAAACTGATCGAGATCGGATCAAATTTAGGATCATCTAAACACAAGTATATATATAAGTTAGACAAAAAAACTAATAATGACTAAATTGGTAAAGAATAGTTATACTTTCATTAGTAAACTATATTTGTGTCGTAAACAAAAAGTTTTAATTACTGATTAGTCCACTATGGATGCAATTTATTATTAATAATTATTGTCAAAATAAATGTCAAAAAATATTTAAGATTGATATTGAGGAAAACAATACAAAGAGGAAAATAAAGTAGAACATAGTTAAGTATATTCTTAATCAATTACGTCATATATTTTGTATGCAATTTGTTCTATGATATTACAATAGACATATTTTTAGGTATGGTTTGTATTTACTTATCAGTATTGCATATTTCAGGCGTGATACCTAATGACTTATATTTATATCTTTAATAATACATGCAATGTGTAATCCCTAATTTTATAATATATTTTTTAAAGAACTGATTGTTATTATTATTATTTTTATTACTATCAATAGCAAGTCTCATCACTTATTAAATACTGATGATACTATGCTCATTCATTTTGTTTCTTAATATATTTCCTGATAAGATATGAGAAAAACAGTTATTCTAATACATAGCAGTACTTCCAATTATACCATACACTCGATGAACATTTATACTTTAGAAACGAGTTCACGACCAATAGTATCGAATTCATTGATGAATGTTTTGAGTAATAAATTGGTCGATTAAGGAGTAAAAAGGTTTACTACAGAACTCACAGAAATTGATCCAACACTTAAGTGTGTGTAACTCTTTGCATGTGTGTTCATAAAATGATTGTTTGGTCCATACTCTGTTTCTTTATGTGTGGTCGAAAATAGTGTTCTCGTTTGCCCAGATTAGCTCTACGATATTATTGTTTACTTTAATCGAGGACAAATCATGATCAAATTATTACGTTAAGTTGCTAATTTGCTTAGGTTAAAGAATGGAAAGGAAAGGTATATACCAATAGTATTACAACTATACACATTAATTTATATCCAAAGCATTATTCAATAAGTAATACTGTTTCATTTTGTGATACTTCTTACTGATAAACAATTATTTGATTTATGGATAATAACAGAATAAATTTACATACCGGAAATATTTGTTGGAATGAACATACAGCATGTACTTTTTGTTATGAATGGTTGATCATTTGTTGAAACAGAACCTAGGCTACAACTTCATGAGAAATTTTATCGATAGTAGAATCTTGCAAGTCATTTGCATTTGGCCACCAAATGCCCTGGTACGGCCGAGAGTGGGGAGAGGCCGCTCTCCCTCTCGAAATGCTCTCACATGGCCACGCGTATATAGCCTCTGCCAGGGAAGTCCTACTCACTGCCTTCTCGTGGAGGGGGTGTTGTTTACGAAAATGAGAGGACGAAAAGCGAATGTCCAGCGCTTTAACCGGATCCCAAACCAATGGTGCACATGGGCTCCAGTATCCTGCCTGAGGGAACAAATGGCGTATGAACCAATCGTTGGTCACCGGCTACCATGGGACTGCATCTCCTTACGATGCTCCACTGCCTTGTGGGTCAGACGTTCAGGTCGAAGGCTCGGGGTGTGGCCCCCTAAGAAAACCACCTACTTCGGTTTGGGCACCTGGGCAGTATCACAGCCCTCACACAAATCAATTGAGATTTGTGTGGCGCATATGTATTTGGTGCCTCCTTGTACCAATATCTATGTGTTAAAATCAATAATAATAATTTGCAATATTGACTAAACTTAAAGTTGTAATCTAATTATTCTGTTACCGACAATAATTGCCTCATATACAATAGCAGGTCACTTTGATTCTTTGTATACAAGTTAAAATCGCATTGAATAACATTGGAGGAATATCATTTAAGATACTGGCCAATTTCCATGCGTTTTTGTCAGTGTATTAAAAACATTAACTAATCATTATTCCTAGAACTATATAAATATACTAACTAATGTCATTAGTGAACACATTATCAAAATATATCCAATAGGAAACATATCACATTTTGCAACTACAGCGTTCAGTACATGTATTAACGTATTAGCTATTTCTGTATGTGGACTTGAGACAATGACAATATCTATCAGCGTAAGTTGTTTTGAAACAAAGGTCATGAAAAATTAATTCAGGTATGTCTAGTGCATATCAGAACAAATATATATTAAAGCAAATAAGACTTCACAACCAGATGGTTAACACTTTTTAACAGACTTTAAGACAAACAGTCAATAGTTTAATAAACTGATGCCACGAAATGGATTGGCCACTATCTAGCTTCATCCAAACTACTATCATTGGTAGTATTGCATATTGTCGTTGAGATGTGGGTAAATAAGTTTTATTTATTTATTGATTTTAACACATAGATATTGGTACAAGGAGGCACCAAATACATATGCGCCACACAAATCTCAATTGATTTGTGTGAGGGCTGTGATACTGCCCAGGTGCCCAAACCGAAGTAGGTGGTTTTCTTAGGGGGCCACACCCCGAGCCTTCGACCTGAACGTCTGACCCACAAGGCAGTGGAGCATCGTAAGGAGATGCAGTCCCATGGTAGCCGGTGACCAACGATTGGTTCATACGCCATTTGTTCCCTCAGGCAGGATACTGGAGCCCATGTGCACCATTGGTTTGGGATCCGGTTAAAGCGCTGGACATTCGCTTTTCGTCCTCTCATTTTCGTAAACAACACCCCCTCCACGAGAAGGCAGTGAGTAGGACTTCCCTGGCAGAGGCTATATACGCGTGGCCATGTGAGAGCATTTCGAGAGGGAGAGCGGCCTCTCCCCACTCTCGGCCGTACCAGGGCATTTGGGGGCGGGTAAATAAGTAGTATTAACAACTTGACGGTAATTAGAATTCGATTGATAAAGGTTGATTAATTACAATTTTTTCATACATTTATACAAATAAAATAATTTCTATAAATCACAATACAATTACAGTGAATTGTATACAAATAGAAGCCTAACACAAATTCCCATTGAATCTACTATGTCACAGGTATCATACACGAAGAGGATGAGAGAGAGCCGACAAGAGAACAAGTAAAGAGCTCAAAGTTGTTGTGCAATGAATCTTAGTTTATCGGATTTATTATATTAGTAACATTTATCTATGATAAACCATCAACTTTAATTGAGAAATTTTCTTTAAAAAGACATCTAACAACTTAATCAAAGTGTGCACGTAAATAACAAGAATATGAACCGAGTCTATTACATAACTTTAATTCGCTGATACGGAAACGAAAAAGAGACTATAGAAAAACCAAATCAACTTATAACTGTAAATTCCAATTACCTTTCTTTTCATCTTTTTTAGTACTATTCGACGAAACATTTGAAGTTTCGCCAGAGCCGGAAATATTAGACATAATAGAACCACCTAATTGTCCAGAAGTACCTCCAAGACCACTACTACTACCAACACCGGCACCACCGACACCGCAGCCACCCCCAACACGTCTAGCATTACCACCACCACCGGTTGACGGTACATCAGCAATTTCTGATGAATCAATACCCATGCTGGCGAGCTAAACGAAAATTTATATTTCGAAAAGGAAGTAATCAACATACTTTAATTTTAAAAAAAAAGAATAGAAAAGATAAGAAATAATCACATATTATTAAGTTGGAGGATTATGGTATACAGCTTTTAAACGTATATATAATGGTAGTCCGAATAAGTGACGTTAACTACAAATAACTAAGAAATGCGAAAGTTGAAACAATGTAAAGTGTATTTTGCAATATAGTTAGTTTTCAGAATACATATTAACTCACAAACAATGTGACGTTTTCTATTATCCATACCTTTGATTGAACGTATATCTAGACTATGCAACAGGACATTAATTAAATTGGTTTTATTTTGTAAACAATAAACAAGCAAACAAAAGCATTCTGTATTTGGTTAGAAGACTTTTTGTGATATTATTCGGGCAGGAAACGTATCCATGTATTGATAGTTTGGTTGCATAAAAGCATGAATACTTCTCCAGGAATATAGGCAATATGACAGCAGAGTTAAAGTTTAAATGTTGTAAGTGACATTATCAATCAACACGATGAACACTGAATTAACGCCACATTCATAGCAGTTATGCTTATTACGTGTTTGAGATAAAACCACAAATTATCACAAATATTGGTTGTTTTCAACTCATATATTTGATATATAAATCTGAAGTGGAATGAGTGAAATACAATATCCTGCACTGTAAATAATTATTGGAAAACGATGTCTATTACTAAAGATGGTCATAAGATACTATAAAAAATTTACTAAACACTTTCACGTAAAACATCTCTCAATGACGATATTAAATAATAAACAAACTACTGGGCTACTGCGCTTCAAAACCCAATCCATACAATTAAATGACGGATAACCGAGCTGTACATAATTAAAATATATTTTACCTCGGAAAAGACAAACTTATACAAATTCAGTCTACATAGAAAGAATTAAAACGTTATCGGGATCGGTAATCAACACTCAACTAATGAGTCATACAGAAGTTTGCTTACATTATCTGGAGAATCATTCTAGACATGGAGACGATGGAAAGTTATTTCACCCTAGCTTGCGTTTTATTTCAGCAGTAGACAGCGATGACATCTCTAAAAGATGAAGCCCAAAACATTTGGACTATAATAACTCCAGACTAATGATTCTGAATCTAATAGTTCATATCAATAAATTCAGTCAAATTATGATACTAAAAGACGATAATCCATTACCACTGATGTCATGTTTCATTTCTGAAATAATTTTTTCATTTAACTATCTATTTGCATAAAAATCTCAGAATACGTCAAGAGTTTACAATATTGTCTAATCATAAAGACAAAGAAATAAAAAGCTCTGACATAACACATTCTATGAATTGTTACAGAATGTATAAATTTTCAAAGTGGTTCATATACATAATACAGTTACATTAGCAAGATTGAAGTAGGTTAGTAAGAATAAAAATTGAAAAGAATTGATAATCTACCAGCACACAGTAAAGGAAATTACATTAAATCTTCAAACAATAAGAAAAAGAGAATTCAGCGAAGAAAATTTTCTTTTCGACGAAATCATTTACTTAAGCTGTACATTCGTATATATAGTCAAAAATCATATCAATAAATACAATTGTTTTGATTCCTTTGAATTTGTCGACTCAATTAGAAATTTCAACGTAACCGGTAAAAAATGTTCTCATTAGATGTCACTTCTCTGTTTACAAATGTTCCTCTCACAGAAACAATTTGTTTTTTATGTGACTATATTGAAAACAATAATCTTGATATGTGTATCCCAAAACATTATCTTAAAGAACTACTTCTACGATGTACGCTCAACGTGCAATTTAGATTTAATGATGTTTTCTATAGACAAGTAGATGGAGTTGCAATGGGCTCTCCATTGGGTCCTCTCTTGGCTGATTGCTTCATGGCTAATCTAGAAAATTCGGTACTTCGACCAATAATTGAGATTTCATTTATATTACAGATATATGGATGATACTTTCATTATTTGTGAAGAAGACATGGACCTAACTGAAATTTTGAAAAGCTTCAATAATTGTCACCCCTCAATTGAATTCACTTTAGAAGCAGAAACAAACCATGAATTTCACTTTCTTGATGTCCGATTAAAAAGAATGCTCGATGGTTTTTTACAGCGATCTATATATAAAAAACCTACTTGGAATGGGCAGTACACTAATTTCCATAGCTGGGTCCCATTGAGTAGAAAGAGGAACTTAATTCATTCTTTATCCTCTAGGATCAAGCGAATCTGTTCCACTGACACAATAGATGAGGAACTAATTCAACTTCGACAAACTCTCATAAGAAATGGTTATCCACCTAGATTCGTCGATAGTAACTTAACACCTAGAATTCATCATGAGAAAGTATCAACAGTACGGAAGAAAACCTTGTTCATGAATATGAAATTTAAAGGAGACACGGCTGCTGAAATCTTAAATAAACGGATTTCAAAATCATTGAATAAAACTTTCTACACAGCCAAGCTCCGAATTGTTTTCTCAAGCCGGCCTACCATTCCTGGATGTGTTAAAGATAAACTTTCGCTTTGGGCCACATCAATGTGTATTTATAAATTTACGTGCTCATGTGGGGCTCGTTATATAGGCCGAACAAAGCGATCGCTGTTCAAGCGCATCTCAGAACACTATCCGGCTTGGCTTTTAAAAGGAGAATGTAAGACAATCACTAGTTCTATACAAGAGCATTTAATCAATTTAGGACACACCGCTCCCAAGTATTCTTCCTTTAAAGTGATCTACAGAGTCAAAGGAATTGGATCGAAGGGCTGTCGAATCAATGCACTGCTGAGGCACTGGCAATTCACGAACTCAAGCCAGAACTTAGCGTGCAGAAACGATTTGTCCAGCCTCTCATCCTTCCTTCACCCTAATTCCATTAATAGGTATGTTCTTTTTTTTCTTTTATTTTTTGCACTTTTATTTTTGATTATTATTGAATTTCTTAAAATTACTATTTTGTATTTTAAACCCTAATCAACTATTATTATTATTATTATTATTATTATTATTATTATTATTATTATTATTATTATTATTATTATTATTACCTTATCCAAGTTTTCATGATTATTATTCAGTTTATTATTATGACCTTTGTGTTTGTCGCCTTTCTTCATATTTGTCAATTGGACTATTATCTGACCTATAAACGATTTTCTTCCTTACCCCTTGATTAGTACGTTACCCCATTTGTTATTTATTCTCGAATCCATTTTGGTGATACAAAAAATTTTTTCTATGCTCCAATAGACATAAATTTTCCATATAACTATATATACGAATGTACAGCTTAAGTAAATGATTTCGTCGAAAAGAAAATTTTCTTCGCTGAATTCTCTTTTTCTTATTCAATGACACTATGGGTTACTTCAAACAATAATGAATAATATATTTAGTTATCTTACTTGTTTCATTCTTTGTTCTTCTTTACTTAAAAACGCACGAGGATCTGATAAAGCATCAACTAAATCATTTAATCCTTCAGGAACATATGTTGTAAGTGACACTTGACAAAACAGAGTAGGTAAAGAAAGCGGGAAATTGCCTTCAGTACGTAAAGATATGTGACGATAACCAGCTTGTAAACCATCCAATGGTAAAACACGTTGACCTATTAATTTTCCAGTATCTTCATAAACTGCAAATCGTAATACGGCAAGATCTGGAAGAACAACCTAAATAAAGACAAGTTTAAATAAAAATATTTCAGTCAAGAATAATTTGTGGAAAACATGTCTAAAGCAACGTTGGCATTAATTCTCAAGAAATGAATTAGTTGGGCGCAAACTATTTAGGCGTACAAACCACATTTCAGTACGCTTATTAGCAAGAAATAAAATATTCTAATGAAATTCTGTATAAGTAGCCAAAGTGTTCAAACTGTTGGTTAAAACAGAAAATGATGTCATTACGTGCTATTCATTGAAAACTTGAGATTAAAACTATTTTCATAAAAAAATAACCTCATTTGATGAAAAGTCGAGAACCAAGGAAAGCATTAAAGTTCTTTTACTGTAATTAGGGTTCATTCATCGATGTGGATTTCTGATTTGTTTCAAGATTGAACACAAGGTTATTCAAGTGTTGAAACGAGCACGATACCTGAAAATTCTATATTGTACCAAAATATTGAATAAAGCCATTAATAATAATAATATCAAGTAATCAGGACTCAATCATTTATTTTCGTATTCCAATCTATTTATGTTGTAACACTATCCACGTTAAATTTCATCATCGAGTTACTATATGCCGTTTGAGATTCAAATTCCAGTGGCCCTATAAAACGTGTTCAATGCTCCTTATACACTTATATTCAGACAACAGTTTATACTTGTCCTAAACCTTTAAAAGACTTTTTCTGCCATTATTAGCAAAGAGAATCGATTTAACAAGTAGAGGGATAGAACATCTACATCACATGTACATGCAGTAGATGTCATTTATTAGACGTCCAGCAAGCTGCTCAACAACTGTTAATCCCAAAAATGTTAGAATCACTATATAATGTGTTACTACATACCATTTCATTTAAACGTTTATCGTATTGTACAGTGCATACATAAAACTTACTTGCATATTGTAGTAATTACAAATAGAATTTAACTAATACGAAAATTGAAAGCCGACTATTTAAAATTAAGATATTACCAAAATTGTTTTGATTAAAATTAAGTAGTTTCAATGCTGTCTGACCGTCTGGTCTAGTCAATCACTCAGTAATAACTAAAGTTTAACTTCGAATGAAAATCCATCAGTTTAAGTTTCTGGTAGGATTCCACGTCCTAGGTAATGTTGGTGCATCAGCACACGTATTACATGTCTAGCTCAATCAAGCTCAAGTTTCTTTGATTAAATAATGAAGGATATATAACAACTATACATTGAATAACTCTCTAACCATTTTCATGTGTTCAATATGGTTTAGATTCTGAATATCAACTGTTTAATGTGGAATATACCCACAGAGTGTAGTGTGAGATTGTACGTATGCAATTGTAATCGAAAATAAAGTGAGCAAGTAAAGCTTTTAAAGAACTCATTAAATTAAGTGATCATATACGACGAAAATGAATAAATTCAATAGGACATTTATGTTCTAACGCCAAAACAATAAACAAATAAATCTGTTGAGGTTTCACGTAACTTTCGAATACCATAATTAAAAAAAACATACTTAATGAAAATGATCTCAGATAATGTTTAATTTTCTCCTTTAATTTACTAAGCATGATCTTCAATACAGGGCTGTGGAGCTCGCTGAATTTTATTGATAACACTAACCGATCTAGGCCAGAAAACAATAAGAAACCTGAAAGCACTGAACGGCCGTTTCGTAGGTTGATTGAAGTTAAACTTGTATCCCACTGGATTCTAGTTCAATGGTATAACTGTTAAGTGTTCACATGCAAGGTCAAAGGTCATAGGTTTGATTCCAGGTCGTGGTCCCATAACAGGACGGAATGACAGGAAAGTGCTTCCAGGTTTTCAATGATTATCTAACTTAGATCGGTTTGTGATTTCAATGAACATAATTTTGGTTAAAACAGGACAAAAAAATTGAACAAACAACTAGGCTCGAGAAGTTCGAACAGTTGAATGCCTAGAATTAAACAAATAAACAGTCTGATGTAGTCCTTCTTTATTTTCATTTAGGATAATGATTCAGAGATTAATGATCTAAATTATCTTATAACTAATTTATTTTCTAGTATCAGTTATTATAAATACTACGGTTATGCTAATACCGTTATACAAACGTTATACATAATAAACTCACTTTTCTAAATACAAAAACAGCATCATCTCCATACACTGGATTTAATCCATTATTAGGGACAACTCGAGTCCGAAATTCTTTACGAATTGTATCTGTTGGTAAACCATACATATCAACTTCGACATATGTGCCAACTTTACGATCGGATAAAAATTGTCCTGATATAATTTTCACTTCACATGTAGCTGCAATAACACCATCCATTGGAGATTCAGAGAATGGATCAAATTGACGTTCTGGACGTCGCATAAACTCCGGTTTTAGTAAATAACTGAAATTGAATTTATTTAAAAATTTTATTTATTTTTACCACATACATAATACAATGATATATTTATTTATAGTTAACCAATTAAGACAACTTAACACGAGATTTAGGCAAGTCATATTATTTACTCGTAAAGACAAGTATAAATTAATCAGGAAAGTTGAAGTTGTCGAAATTCTGGTATCTTCATAGGTTATATCACAGATCGATGGTTACCTAGACAATCATTCGCAACCACGAAGTACTAGACGGTTGTTCTGTCTCAGTAAGGGACTCCTCAAAAATACGTATACGCAACCCCACTGAGGATCAGAACACAAGTCAATAAATTCCACACATAAACGATTAACCTTAAGACTACTGATCTAATATCCAATGATGCGAACGCCTAACTTCAATCAACTCTCGATACTTTGCGACTATCTTCGTTGTTTAAAGTGAATAACAGTCTTACACATGACATGAAAATTCTACAATCTTCACAAAAGTCACTATCCCAAAAATAATCATGTGCTCATTCATGAGTAACTTCGAGATTCATTCAGACCCTGTGACAAGCCGTAACCAGCGGAGTCCAACTATATAGGATTTGAGACAGTTGTTTACCGCAACCAATCGAACATGACCACATAGTATAACAAACTTAGACGTTTACACCACTGAATCCCAACAGAGTGGTCCAGAGATTGAGTGTTATTTAATAAGTACCAAAATAGGATGAAGCATGTCCAGTTGTCAATGATGGTTTAGTCAAGATCAGTCCGCGATGCAAACTGTAAATTAATTATTTGTTCAATCGTTATCAACTTAAATATGTTTCAATGGAATATTCCAAAGTTGATTATAATGATGATTAGGATTTTTGAAGTAAAATTAATCATCTATGAAATAACCAGTAGTGTATATCTGTGCATTGTTTAGTTCATATGATAGTACTGTGGTCTGTGCTACTTATGTTGATAGATGTAAGCAGCATGTAGCACAAAGTGGAATGCCTACCAGCAGGATATTGAGAAGATTGAATTGAATAGAACAGGAATGTAAACGAAGAGCAATTGGGATAACAACAGAATCGAAAGAATCATAAAGCATGTAAAGGACAACTGAAGGAAGATGTACATATAATGTATTTAATGTATGGTTTTTATATTTTATGAAAGCACTCTGTAATTTTGCCTTTAATAATAAATTGGTTTCTTCACAGCTAAGTTCTCGTTCACTACAGTATTAATTGCAACAACATGACTTCATTAGTATCACTTGTGTCATTTAAATGCCATTAACATAAGACATAACTTTCGTATCCAACTGCTAAAATTAGCAGAAGCTCTTACCATCTATGAGCTCAAACTAGAAGTACGTACAAAAGAAGTACGTCCTATTGTTATCGTTACCTTGGCCTTAATTTACTATTATAATTACTGAATTTCTACCTTTACTTATGTCTCATATTCTCATTATTTTATTCGTAATTGCTCATGATACCACTTCATTTATTTTGCATCTCTATAACCTTTAATTACCTACACTTTTTGTAATAAAAAAATTCCAATTATCTTAATAAATTCGCGTTACCATTCGTTCTAGCTTATTAAGTCTATTGTTATCATTCATATTACGTAATCTAGTATAATAATCGTTCTATTACATCATCTTGGTTATTCCATGTTCACATTTGCTGACGGAACCAGTACTTTAACAAAAAAAAATTTCATATATATATGATTGCACAGCTTGATAATAAATTCCTTAAAAAGAGATCCCTTCGTTGAGCTTCGTGTTTTGAATGTTTAAATGGGAATTATTTGTCAATAGTGATGAATTCATCTCTAACACCAAAGACAGTAAGTTAATAAGATATAGTGATGATAACAGTACTAGTAACGATAATCTAACTCATTGTCGAATACAGGCTGAGGTGCTATGGACTTTCAGTCACACTATACGCGAGTTAATTATAATCAGTCAGTCGCAGGAAAAACGTGAACGCAACTTGTGGTCATATGTACATCGGTTCATGTTCCCACAATACATAAACAAAACGAGATGAAACTATCAAGATAAATAGCAACAGTATAAATGGTAATAGAAAAAATCAAATGTATAGGTAATGTGTCACAGAAGGAAGGATGAATTTGTAGATTAAAATACAGAAGATAACTTTAAAACTTAAAATCTAAAGAACAGACAAAGAGTGGACAAATTTGATCCATGTTCCACAACGCATTTACTTATAGGTCATGACAACTGAGTGGATTCTACGCCAGTAGTCAGCACCTACCAAAACAACTTCGTCCGACAGTCAGTGACAATGTGATCTGATGCTAAATCTTAGTTTGAATGTCCCTATTTTTATTTCAAATTACTTTAACACCAGCATACATAATGTTTCAAGATGGACTGTATCTTACTTAGATTAACAGAATAACTGAAACAAAATACATTCAATAGAATTAAAATCTATGAACTCATCTTAACAATTCAAGTTTCTTAACCAAAAAAGAAAACAAGAAAATTAATTGAATAAAGTTGTAAAAATATTCACAAAATAACGATTTACAATTTTGAACAAATGCAATAAGATTTATTATGTTTTCAATAATGTAATAAGAAGATAAAGATTACCAGAACTATGTGTTCACATTATTATTATTATTACTCTTATTGTTACCCTTGTCTCCTCTTACCCAATTTCCAGTTTAGTTAACCTTTTATTTTTATATATAAATGTTCTTAACAATTCTATTACGTATGATCAGATTGTTCGAAGTGTATTGCGCTAATATATCACATAGTTCTGATGAGTCTCATATTGTCATGTGTGTGATGAATTGAAGTCCTAAACACCAATGTGAAGATTCAAACAACCAATACAAAAATGAATTGAAACTTCACCCCATCACACAAGGTAGTGTTATCTGGGCTCGAGGTGTTTGATACTGGGTTCGAACCACGGAGTAAACATCAACTCAGGGATGCAGGTTCATCCAGCTGACGAATGCCAAATAAGACGAAACGTGCGGTCTGGATTTCACTGTTAGCCATTATCCATTTCTGCTTATTATTGTTATTATCATTATTATTATTATTATTATCAGTACTATTATTAGTAGTAATAGTAATACTACAACACTAATACATAACAGCTGTTCTAAATTATTAATTAACCAGAAAATATAGACTGATAGATTATCAGAAGTGATTGTTGGAGGCAGTAGTGAAAAAAAAAATCAGTTCATTTACCAAAAATATTACATAAAGATATTTTAGTTACATTATTGTGTGAAAATTCATATAAAGGGAATTCAATCAGTTGTTTAATCAGTTTAGTCGAGTGATACATGTTAAATCTTAATCGAATATCTCCTGATAGGAAATAAAAATTCATGGAATACAGAAGTTATAAAAAATGATAAACCTGAGATGTACATCCTGATTTTGAAATAACAATATTATTAAGTGAGTATTTAATAAAAGTTAACAAGTAGTGATTAACTCAATTTAAGCAGTTCATGGTGCAGTAAAAGTTGAGAATCAAATATGACAAATCTCAGGGAAAGGATTTAAAAACATGATCATCGATGATAAAAATCTTCATTGATATCTAGAATTGAAGTCTGCTATTGTATGAATATCATAGATTAATGGTAACATTAAGTCTTGAGGTAAAAAATTAATAATGAAATCAAAAGTTTCATTGTAGTCTAGTAGGTACATTTACTTGTTATCGCGTAATAATTTCAAAAAAGTTTAACGAAACCTCCATATCATTTGACTACAAATGAGAAAACCTAAACAACTATTATTGTTATGATTAAAAAGTAAGAGTTGTTAAGTTCTCATGAGGATTCCTCGATAACACCTTTTGACCCTTCAATAAACGACACGAAAACGTCTAGAAAAATGACAGACTATGAACGGATGAATACTGACTTAATTTAACGTATTTTCAGGATCTTGTTTAGAATGTAAATGTTATCAATAAACCCATAATTAATATTGTTTTCTATACATAAAAAAGCTTGAAGTAAAGCATCTATTCTTACATCACATCCTTAGTCTACAGTATTGGGGCTTAAATCTAGGAGTATTTAGATGATACGAAAGGAGGCTAGTAAACAAGTAGGAAGCATTCAATAGCCAGACATATTACCAATAAAATTAGTCAGATTATGTAACTATAGGAAATAAACTAAAAATATTTGAAGAAATTAAAGCATGTTCATTTTTGGCAAGCGTTCAAAAGTTATTATATTTATAAAAGATGTATTACAATCTTAATGCATTTAAAATTCTTGATATTTAACGGTAAAAAATTGGTGTTTACAAAAGATACATTTACTGGACACGTAGCTAAACTACTGCGGAACGTTATGATAAGTGTTAGATAAATCATTTGGATTGCGATTCAACAGTGCATTCATAATTTCACATACATGCACATACACCCTTTATAAATGTGACGCAAGCCTAATCTCTATTATTTCAAACCCTATACTATCGAACATTATATATATATATATATATATATATATATATATATATATAATGCGCTGACACCATATATATGGAACTATTATTGACAACTGCGTTGTTGAACATGATCATTTGTCAAAGTTTTCACTATAATAATAATAATATATATTTAGTGATAGAAATAACTTCTTTACTGCGTCAATGAATAATAAACAGTTTATTTTCGAATTATCGTTTGGTTATATTTACAGGAGTATCTAATAAAGAAATTTAGTAAGCGCATTCCGTTTAATTTTGTACTCACTAGCCTTATGTATTTGCAGCCCATTGTTGACATTAACATTGTTAATTGAACCCAGTACACAATGGCTTCATACAACAGTGAGCTATTCCAGTAGATCAATACGTCACGATGTAATTACATGCACGTGATAAACTTCAAACAGTATATAATAAGTTTTCTGAATCCTACTGATAGTCACTAATCAACTAATGACTATAGATAATACCGAAACATTTGATTAAGAAGTCTATATGCCCTAAAAGAACTGATGAAATGTCGTTATCAGTATCAACAAAGGGAAAAAATAAAGCCCCTTAACAAATAATAAAAGAAACATATTGGCTAAGAATAAATATTCAAAATATGTGTATTGGCAGCATACAGAGTTTTCAAGTTGTATCACCTATTCTCAGGTAACTTTCACATAACCATACATGTTTGAAAAACATCAAATAATTGCATAAAAAATGGGTTTATACTTAATGAAAATATTAAAAAAACCATCTACATAAAATAAAGAATAATGACTTTTTGTAAATAAATGACATATATGAAATACCTGGCTATAAAGTCCCAGAACATGTTACTTCACTGACGATATGTGGATGAATAAATGCAACCGCTTAATCAGTTGCTTAATCTTGTGTAATTGTTGTACAAGTGTTATGTATAAATGAAGCATAAAAACACACTAGTTTATCCAAACAAGCAATTGTTTGGTATACCAAGTACTATAGAGAATTATGCCTTATGAATAATTTTTTTGACAAATGAATTTTCACACCACATTAGTGAAACACGACATAAACTCACCATAATTTCCGTAAGAATTCAGATACTTAATCAGTTAATTTTGTGAGTTTACTTAGCATGTATGAGACTGACATCTCCTTATTTGCGGATAAATCTTCCGCCTTTTACTAAAGATTTCCGTGGGGAGGCACAATAAAATAAATGAGACTGGTCCCTTTATGATCATCCATACAATTTAGTCTAAAATGATAATCAATTACAATTTCCTTCATTTGTTTTTGAGTTAATATTTATTATATGAAAGCTAATGAGACTTAGTCAGCTGTTTTAAAAAACAAATAATGGAGTTGGATTATAATCTATGGTGTGACAATTCATAATTGAGTATTAAAAACGTTCAACGACAAAGTCTTTATGAAAACAGAATATTCCATTGACGCTTATGTACACTTATAACTGTATTTACAATTAAGAATAACAATATACGTCTGAGTTATAAACCGGGAAGAAACACGACCATAAAAATAGGCATGAAGAAAAAGGAAGAAAACAGGTCAAATAACTTACCCACAATTACCATTGTATTCGAACTTTCCTTGGTTCAACTGCATGGCTAAGTCAGGAGTTTGGAAATTCAACGCAACCATTTGGCATCCAGCATTCCAAAATATCTGCCATGGTAATTAAAACACACGCATAGACAAAAGAATAAGTGACACGGAATATTGTGGAGGCAATGAAGAAAAACAGTTAATAAATAATTTTCTTAGCAGTTATATGACGCTGCAACCCAATTTTCGATCGTTTAAGAAAGTTAATATTTAAAAAAAATTGAGCGTGATAAGATAATAATAATAATTAACATTTCAAAATACTGGTTGACCGAGAGCACATTCCTCAAACATTCTAAAAAACAGTAGGTTTTGATTAAATACATTTGTTGAATATACACATTTTTAAATACAAACATAATATTAGTCAAATATTCAGCTATCAGTTAGTTGTGAATGCTTCAGTCTTACTAGAGATTGGTCTTGGTTTCACAATCTCAGTACTAACGCCTCGCTATGTTAAGCTGCGTGATGAGTGTTCAAACATATCAGGGGGACATCAATAACCTGAATTTTACAGTTATCCCTTAATGACGAGCGTCAAACAGCACGAAATTCAAGTCCACGGTTTTATGTCGACTGCCTTAAACTATGTAAGATATAAACAACCGCTTTTATTATTGCCATTGCTTAAAGAGGTTGGCCTAAACGTAATATACGGAATTAAACAGGAGACTAGTGTTTTATATTTCATTCATTGTTATTCGTTATGGACTCAGATAGCGGACACTAAAATTGATCCATTAGTCTATCTTATATGATCATATGGAATAACAATACCAGCCTTATCTTTAATGCAATGGATAGGTAATAGTCAAATTACAAACTATTGTTGTTATAATTAGTGCGTTGTTCTGAATCCATATCATAATGATGATAATTACGAAAAAATATTTGACCTGGGTGAAAAAGACACTCAAGTTATTAATTCCAACTTAATCATGATTTACTGATGGCAAATGTTAACTGATAATAGTAAAAGGTATTTAATTCAATTAGTTGCTTACTATAAAAAATAAGGTAAAAGAATAGTAGATCGAAAATTTTCTATTTGCTTAGTTATGCTGTTTTCTAACTTATGAATTGTTGATTTGTTTATTGGCTTGCAGTAATTTGGTTGATTACTATTATTCAACAGAGTGTAGTACAGTTCCACATGTACAAATTATCAAAAGAAAGACGTTAGATGTTTCGTATTTATCGACCTATCGTTTGAATCATGTTCGAATAATTAAGATTGTATGTCAAGTATCACAACTCAGTATTGTAGTCATGTGTATGAAGTGGTAGGCACAAGGATGAGTAAGAACAGTAAAGCCATCATACTGATACAGTCAGGAAAAGAGGAATTGGAATAAAAATGTGTACTACATTCCACAGTTAACGCCTGCCCCAAAATATAATTGTATCTTTATTAACAACAAAACATAATAAGATAACAAACACCTATGTAAACAACCAACCACAATCGATGTCATCCATACAAATTGATTTACTGGTTGTGGAAAAAAAATTAAAAGTTTATTTTTATCCAAAGTGGATCAGCGACAAAAGTTTCACAAAATTCAATAATTCAACTCAGAGAATCCAACAGTGTTAAAAACACTGAAAAAATGCCAACAGACGATCATTGCAAAATAAAGGATTCTCATAAAAATATGATAATATTAGAAATAAATAAGAAAAGTACATATTTTGTAACTTCCGAGCATATTTTGCGAAAAAGGAAATAAAGTATCTAAGCAAATATTTAAAATAACCCAGTAATCAATCAACATAGTTAATAACATATTTATTCAATTAATGATAAATTAATTCTACATGAATTGTTTTTTTTCATCTTTCTCAAGGTCATCAGTTTATATATATATATATATATATATATATATATATATATACCAGAAAAAAGACAACGAGCGAGGGAGAAGGGAAGAGAGAGAAGCGATAGCGAAATGTTTAATTCAACGAAAGAGATCATTGAATCAGGTTAAATTTGACGACGACGTCAACAACAATAACAAGTGACTAGAGCACTGGTAATCAATTTTCCTCTCTACTTTAATTCAGTTGGTAGATCATATTAAAATAATAATATGAAGTCATCATTTACCATTAAAAAACGTTTTGAATAGAAAAAAAGAGCAGAGAAGACGAATAAACTGTATGTATGAAAAAAAGGAAGGACCAACATATTCATATTTATATTATTATGACTAATAAGAGATAAAAATCAAATGAACGTTGAATAAATAAACATAATTTAACATTATCTGAGACGTATAGTTGCTAAGCAAATAACTATATAGCATACATCGTTCATATTACGCACTGGAGATACTTATATTCCTTTGTATAAGAGATTAATCAGTGTACTTAGACAATTCAGTACACATGTACCAGCTGGTCTGTTGAGGTGGAACAAAATACGAAGACACTTCATAGACGATTCTTCTTTGCTAAATTCGAGAGTTTTTGTCATGATGACTAAGCTAAGGATAGTAATCATTAACTAACGTCATTATTTGTAATTTGAAATAGATTTCGAAATGTTTAGCCAATAATTATTCCTTTCACATCATTTACACTTATAGTTAAAACATTCTGAGGGGTTTACGCCATAACCCAATCTACATTGTACAAGTTTAGATAACTAAATTGATTTAATTTACTGATGCAGGAATGAAAAGTGAAAATAAACGAAATAAATTTATAAAACTTACATTGGTGTCTATGAAAATATTGGCTGTATAAGTAGTTACGTTAAACAGAAATCTCAATAGACAAAACATAATACAATAAAAAGCACATCGTAATACAATAAAACCTATGAAATTTTGATATTGTACAAAAAGGAAATTACTTCAAACTGACTTACTTGTGGCATATAATTGCTTGAATCGACACGATTTCCTCTAGGATAAATTCTACTCATCTGACGTTTATTATAACTGTTTATTTTCATTATAATAGTCAATGTTAAGGTTGAAATTTATAGGAGATTTAGCAAAAGAAAAAGACATTGAATAGATGCTTTTTAAAAAAACAAATTTAAATGAACAAAATCTAACTAATCCACATGCAGTGAAAAAGTACAACTAACAATACAACATGAAAATGATGAATGTCAAAACAATATTAAATAAAAATGCACATCATTACGAAAGATAAAAAGGGGGTACTTGACAAATGCAATACAATGTTTCTTGATCAGGCCCAATGCGATACTTTCATTGAATGAAGACATATGATGACTAATATTACTCGCTGAATGAATGTAAAGAAAACAGAAAAGAAAACAATTGGTACACGAACTACAACAAATAGAGACCAGAAACACAATACAACTGTTAATATATAATAATACATGCTACAAGATATGAAAAAGACAAAACAAATAATAGTAACTAAATCATCTAAAATATATGTATGTATATACGACATATATGCATGCTGTAAGTAAACTGTACAAAACAATCCAATGCATTACATTAATAAATGTGTACATGTATTACTTATGTAAAGTTTGCACAACATAACAATAACTAAAATTTTATGTTATGTATAATGATGACAGACAAACGTTATCATTTAGTAAATGAAACGAACTACTACTATTAACCGATTTTATTAGATTACATAATATTTCCATGAACGGATAATGATGGATTATTTAAAGTAGATTACAAGTCAACTGGAAATTAGCTATATAATAGTATTAGTGAGTGATGAGGAAAAAATCAGTCAAATCAATTACTTATTTATTATTATTATTATTACTATTATTATTACATAAATGAAATGATGCATAAAACAAATTAATATTCAAATTTCCCTTGTTTTTATCAACGTCAAATGGATTATTTAAATATTCAAACAAATATGACATTGTACTATCTTCAAAATAAGGATTTAACTGAATTTTATTTCCTAAAATATTAATAGTTAGTGATGATCACTTTATAATAGACTTCTATGGGATATTTTTGAAATAACTAAAACAATTCATTTATTTGCAAAATCGCTAGATTTCACATTGACTTATTACTGAATAATAAATCAATGTTAATTTTATCTACTTTGTAATATTAATCTAAGTTCACTGATCAATCACCTTTTGATCACTAATATTAGTGTATCAAGGTAAGATAAACTACGTTTGAATGTTAGATGATAAGAGGTAATCAGTAGAATGGACTAAATCTAAGGAAATGGGTACTGCATTCGTTATTCAGCATCGCAGTCACAAACGTTACCATTCCAGTATTCCAGGCAAGGTAAATTTCAACTATTATAACGCCTAGATTCGAAACTATTTTTCTATAGCTTCCAACCAACAACATAATTAGATTTATCTAACTCTTCTACTATAAAAAACGTTTAAATGGAAAAGACGATTTAGTTGCTAAATGTCATTACAAAAATGAAAATAGGTTATTACCATTTGCTAATAAATTTGAAACAATATATTTGTTTTACTGTGACAGATGGCGAACTTCGTAATTAGTATAAAAGTTGTAATAACTGCTTATACAAATGCTTTAGATCGACATTAATATATATGAATTTAGCAGACGGATTCATTTAGCCTCTGGCTTTTATTAATAACTTATGATATGAAGTCTTTTTTTAGATAATGTAATGTAATTACAAAATATATCAAATAAGACAGTATGTTGGTAAAATGTGTGGATCACTGGAGAAAAAAAACAATGTTTGTCTTAAAAGTCATGCTGAATGTTAATATTAGAGGTACTTCAATGTCTTTTTTTTAAGTTTACGTTTGTAGGATAAATAAATAAAACTATCTAAATACATATTGACGGTAAATAAATACACAAATACACAGTAATATATTTGATACATTTAAACATATAAGACAATGGCCTGGAACATTAATAGCAATAAATCTTTTCCAAGGTACAAATACACATTATGTTATTAGAATTAGTTGAAACATTCCAATAAATAATAGATAACCATACAACATGCATTTCTAAAATGAAACCTTACAATAACAACGTAGATGCGTGCAAATATTAACAGAAGTACTATAAAAACACTCGATAAACTTTTTGTTTTGAAAACAAAATAAAATGACAATAATGACATAAAAATGTTTTCTTATCAAGTGAATAGGATACTTGACAAATTCTATCGCTTGATTCTTTAATAATCCCAAAGCCACTGTTTCACTGAATGAAGACATATGATGATGAACATTCTCGTCTAAACAAGTAAGTTAAGTTGAATATGTATACAATTTATGTAAGAATAAAGAGAATAATTAAAGTACATACTCAGTCAAAATATTATATCAAGGTTAAAATACGAAACTGAAATATAAAAAATTATTCATTTCCTATTAATTCAAAAAATAACTATATTGAAATAATATGTTTGTGTAATTCAAGTTACGTAAAAAGGGGTCATTGAAAAATAAGGTGGCGAACAAATTAAGCCAATAAGTATTTTATGTTACGAATTCGCTTCAGTTAGACACATAGTAAATATCAAGAAAAAAAACTGGAGGATTGTTTCATTATAGTATAGAACTTTTTAATAATAAATACCTGCGATCATCCAATGGGTAGGGTTAAGAAATTTATTTTCTCATAGAGAGCGTGACAGCTTGTTTTAGAATTATAAGTTTAGAGTTCTATGCAAATTCGATCTAGTGAACTTGGTATGTTAAGTGAAATAATGAACTTTTCATTTATGATGTGTAAACGTTTACTAATGTTGGTTTCAGTAAGTGATAAATTTTCAATGTATTGCACTAATTGTTATATAGTGATTAAAATACATTTGAAAATATTCATCGCATATCATTTAATTTATATAAATTACAATATCCAAATTTAAATATTAGGATTGAGAATACAGAGATAGACATAAGCAACATAGTACTTGATATAGATGCAGATTAACTCAAGATACCATTTTTTTCTGAAAATGATTAGATGAAAATAATAAAATAGCTTGATGTAATGTTGTGGCAGTGATAAAAAGTGGATTGTACGTGTAAAGATGGAAAAGTACGCATGAAAGTATACTAGAATTCAAGATAGAAAGAAAGATAAAGAGTGAACGAATATGCGGCACCTTTGAACCATTTTGGGCCATATCATCTAAAGTCTCCAAAAAGCAAGATTAGGTGTACTATCGACTGCTATAAAGTGAATATTTACGTTCATTGAAAATATCTAGCACAAGTGTTCACAATGCCACATATTCGATAACTGCAGCTTGTAATGATAGTAATCAGTTTCACTGTAGAAAAACAAGTGAATATATGAAATAACATTCCGTATGTAGATGAAAATATTAACTGATACGGTTCATCATACAACTAAACAGTTTATTTAAGGTAATCTGGGAATGACTGGTTCAGTAAAACACCAACATACACACATACAAAATAGTACACATTTCTACATTACTAAACTATTACGACTTCATATATCCTTCACATAAAAACATATTTTCAGAAACTTTCTGTTTTCTACAGAAAAGTCTTTTTTACAAATGCTCCACAGCTAAGAGCTTAATTTAATAGTTATTCATATTCTTGATTGATATCATGGACTGATCTTTGTTAGATGACTATTGAAAACCAGAATGGGACGGACAGTTGTTTCGTTCTAGCAAGAACAGCAAGTGACGTGAACTACAATAAATTGGCGATTTCTACAGGACGCCTATACTAATCATTAATAGTTCATTTTTCTGCTCGAGAGCTTTTTGACATAATAATTATGTGTATAAGTTTCGTCGCATTCACTAAGTCTCAATGCTTAGTTAAAGCGTTAACTTTGATTCCTAGTGAGAAATGTTTTCCGTACTACTCTAAGTGCTTTTAGAACATTTATTCAGGAAATTAAACCCTTCAAGTTAAATAGAAAAATCACTGTATTTTTCTCATTTGCCACCATATGACGTAACTATTCACTTTTTCCCGACAATTACGACACACCTTCCATGAACAATGAATACAGTATTTCCTCATACTCCAAAAAGATTTCTCAATTTACAAGTACTAGAAATCAAATTTATCACATTTTTTAATAACGATAATTTTCCAAATTGGAAAATCCGCACACACATATACAGGTGTGGTGTATGCAACTTATGTCGACATAAGTAGCACATAGCACCAATCAGAAGAGGAATACCTGGCAGCAGGTTGGGAAAATCGAATCGAATAAAACAGGGACAGAGAGTAATTGTTATGACAGTACAAGGACGGTGGGGCTTAAGAGAATTGATGGAGAATCTGCAGATGAAGTATTGAACGTATGGTTTTTATTATTTACTAAAGAACTCTGTAATTTTGTACTAAAATACATTTGGTAGTCCCCATCTGTGTTCTCGCTCACTACACATGTACACAGAACTATCGTTTTAACAGATAAAAATACTCCTACTATTCTCAACAATGAAACATTGTAAACCAATAAAATAGAAAACTAGGATAATAATGCAAAATGTAAGTGGTTGTTTAGAGAGAAAAAAAGAAAACAGAACCCTGTCACAACATTGTTTTCGTTTAGTAGTATTTTCGAATCAAATAGTTAAAAAGTTAAAACGTGTTGAATTTGATATGGATGAAAAGGTTTGGTTAGTAAGCGAATGAATCTGAAGAAAATTATCTCTTTTTTTCCATAAAACTATGAACCGATAAACAAACTGGAAGAAAAGAAATTATACGATGTGTTGAAATGGATAATTTGTTATTATTCTTTAAACTAAACAAAAGTAACAACAATCTGTAAATATTTATCCAAACAGAAATGATGATAATATATATATTTAAAAATAAATTTCAAAGAAATTGTTTTATAAAAACAAAATAAATCATTAACAGAAGTTAAGAAAGCTGGGATAGAGATATATCGAATTCCCCGAGGACACATTATCAGAACGAATACGTTAAAGTTTAATTTAGCGATCAGCCCAGTACACTTCTGCTATTACAACGATTACAAGAAGAATGACTAGCAGTTACTACAAAATGAATATGTATGACAGGAATAGGAAAGATTTAAACCTGATAGTTTGACTTTAATTTCATTGGAGTATTCAATGATTATTAGTTACTAAGCCCTACAACTGTTCATTTACCAAGTGATATCCAGAAACATATTTATTCTTGCGTCTACAACTTTATATAAAGTTGTATTACATTGTTAAACGGAGAAACTGTTAAATACGAACGAAGAATGAATACTAACAGCTAGGAATCATTTATGGACTATTATTACGTATATTCTTATTTGATAGATAATAAGTAACTAGTTTATATATATATATATATATATATATATATATTCTACTTGATCTTATATTATCATTATTTTTCCTTTAATGGTGTGATACAGTCTGATATGGTTGTTTATAAACCAAGTATGTCTGAAATAAACGATTCATACAGGGGACGAGGATATTTGTGTTCTGGACTGAACAGGATGGACAAGGCATGAAGCTACCATATTGAGGACTAATAAGGAGTTGACTCAAGCCTACTGGTGCTGTTTGATGTACTATCAGTTTACCACAGAGAAAAGGTCATAGAAGTCGGTATTTTGATTGGCAATTTTGCCACGTGATATTTGACGGACCCTAGGATAAAACAGAAACCAATACTACTAGCCAACTGTCAACTCTTCCTAACATTAATTCAATTAAGGTTTTACATCAACAAAATAGTTTTTGTGACCAGCGAATATTCAACTACATCACATTTCTGCAATATATCTCTTCAATGGCACTTTTTTCATTGCATTTTAATTACAAACTCAATAATAAATTACTAATAATAGATTATGTACCTGGTTTCTTAGGCTAATTCTAAAAGCACCAGTGAATAATGATGACATTAACACCGTTAGATACTGACTTGGAGGTCAAGCGTTCATGCGTGAGACGGAAGATTATGGGTTCGGGTCACTCATATGAGATTCTGGATGCACACAGCTGAGGAGTCCCATGTTGGGACGAAACAGCTGTCCAGTGCTTCCAGATTTTCAATTGTGGTCTAACTTAGATCAATTCATGATATCAATGAAATTCAACAGTCTCTACTATAGCCCAAGTGGAAATGTAATGATTATATTTCAAACAACTGAAAAAGAATTGATGTGTTTTATGTTAACTATCAGTTTGAATAATAATGATAATAATAAAGGATAAACATTTTGAAACAAAAACAAATAAACATATTCTTTTATTATCCACCTGATTCAATGTACATATAAATAAAAAAACAGCAACAACAAGAAAATTCATTAATTTTAAAATATCTTTTAATTCTCTAGAAACAATTTTAGCTTAAATTATTTCCATATTTTGTAAAAACAATTTATCCAAAAATTATCCACTTAAACATAAATGAAAATCTACTATAATAAATTATACAGTCAGTATAATATTGAATTAATTACAAAACAATAAGTTAGATATTATGCTATATATATATATATATGGACCTATTTAAATAAATATCAATATGGTGCAGTGTCTTTTGGATAGTATTGTATGAGTAATTATAGACTACTAGGCCACAGTCAGGGTAAATAAATTATAAAGTAATGATTGGAGATATTAGATAATACGGTTAAGAATTTGTAATAATCGCACAGATCCATAATACTTGATTTACTGATGACTGCTAACTCTAATCAGTACATTACAAGTTTAATTTTGAGAAATACAAATCAAACATCTTACCCCTTAAACCGCTTCACAATACTCATTCAGAAAAAGCAGGATATATAATTATGTTACAATTATGTTTAAAGTACAGAATAACTGGTAAGTACTAGTTTGTGGTTCAGTGAAATTATACTATATAATGTAAATATTATGAAAAAGAAATTCAATATTTTGTTGAGAATGAAAACATTTCAAGCTGTCAGTAATCGAAAATATTATAAGTACGGGGGTGTTTTGAAATTGTGGAATTTTCCAAGGGACTCCTCTGAAGTACATACTGACGACCGGACCGAGAAAAAAGCTCATGACGTTCAGAATTTGTGATGAACTTTAACTCCCTGATTTAACATCTAATGGTACATATGTTAAATTTCGATCATTTCATGATATTTCACGACCATCTTCCATTGTTTGCAGTGGATAGCTGCCTCACAACCAATATGATTGGACTCTACCGGTCAACAATTTAATCGGTTCATTGATCTAGATGTTACGTATTCGAAACAGCTATCTGGTGCTTCCTGTTTTTCAATGATGATCTTATTAAGACCAGACTAAGAATATTGAAAACTAGGACACACGATAAAAATGTATATTTATAATTCTTCACCTTTTACACAAATCAACTGCGCATCTACAAGAAACGTTAGTATTCATAAAATAACAATATGACTGAAATTAATGTTTCCTCACTTACCTTCTGCGACATCAAATCCTTGAAATTTTACAGGTTGTGCATAATTAACAAATGATGATAATAATGGGTGTATACTACTTGTTGCACCAGTATAATGATAATGAGCCATCATTATTTGTTCTTCTTCAGCTGTTAAATTTCCCTATATTAAATGAAAAAACAAGCAATCATAACAACTGTACTGTTAGTAATATTTGATGAGAAATTAGTCTGATGAAGAGTATTTCAAAACACGTCAATGTGTCATAACTAAGTGGGATATTGATACTAGATTCCGACCAGTAATAATAATGATACAAAGTAATGCGCAAGTTATACAGTCGATTCCTTGTCTACAAAAATTGGTTTAACGCATGAAGTAATTAGTTTGTAACAAGTTGCTTAAAAATTCGAACTGACATACCTGATTAAATTTGACTTAGATGGCTACGTAATATCACCAAATCTCACACAGACAATACGACCCAAAATTGAACAGAAAAAACTTCGTAGTTGGCGAGGAGAAAGTATAGATAACGTATAAAGCTGATATATTAAGCCGGTTTTCAAGACAAAATAGGTATGTAACTAACAGATCACATAATTGATAGAATAATCTTGCGATTTCGTATGTACTATGCTAAGTAAGAAGCCTGCCAGTTTTTTTCTACTAATAACACCTATGATTGTCTATGAGTGTTTAATCTCGTCTTATTATTTTAAGCTTAAAATATTAGAATAGTTTGTCAATGGTATATGTAAAAAATGTTCCATCCACTTAAGTAGATGAAAGTTGACAACATTAATAATTGATTCGCTAGTACTTATCACCGGTAGTTAAATCAAAGCTGGTTTAGCCAACAGAATTCTAAAAACACTTATGGTTAAATACAACCAATACATTTCTTCTACACTCAGGGTTTACTCATCATGAACCTTGATCATACAAAACTTTTTCACAACGAAAAATATAATAAAAACGTAAATTATGGTTGAAAGAAGTAAAAAATGTCATGCCATCTCACAAAAACACGATCTAAAATAGTGGTATTTCAAATATGCTTAACAAAAAAACCCATCAAAATCGATATTATATTACTAATTGAGATCAACTTAGTAAAAAATTTCGTACAAAATACAAAATAAATAACATTAATTCATCAGCACTGTGATTTGTTTAAAACATATTTTCTAACATGCTAATAATATACTTTAGAATAGTAATTTGTAAAAGTACATCTGAATGATTGAAGTTACAACGGACTAATTGAGAAAATTGGAATTTCCGGGGAAGCTAACTAGATAGTAATCCAGTTTGTTATATTATCAAAACTATCAAACTGAACAAATAACTACAATATCATGTTGATAATAATAATAACAGATATTGAATGAATATCAATTCAAATACAAACATAACTTACTTCCTCCTGTATTGGATTGATAGATATGTCAATCAGTTATTGACAATATATCCGTTATGATAATCCATAAAGATGAGTTTTGTATCAGATCCATGAATAGAGTAAACATGTATCATTATTACATTGACCACCAGCAATGTTCGACCAGTAATTTCGATTACAATCATTATGAATAATTTTAATGTATGATCAGTAAAAAAAATAATGGAAACTATACATAATTGTAAATATATATTGTACATTGTTTTCATATCGTTCTTGCTACCAGCTAATTCATTTTTCCTGTACTATATCCTTATATGCAATCTGTTTTTTTATATATTACCACCATTGAATTAACTACCTCTATGCATCCGGTGTTCATCTTACTATGTTAATCAGGTATGGCAACTTGTACCGATGCATATATGTGCCTAGTCCTACGTTGTAGCTGACTGACTCATAAACTAAGAAATATTTACAATCTAACTTAATAACAATTTAAAATCATATTCAATTCGTCAAAACAGCTGAAACAACAACAACAAATACTACTACTACTACTACTATTGTGGTGTGAGTAACTTATGCGGACAGATATAAGTAGTAAGCAACAGTAATTGAAATTGGGATGCTTACAAGAAGATTGAAATAAAGAAAAAAAGAAAGAGAGAGGCCTATCGGAATAATAACAGGATTAGAAGAATAAACTTTACCGAGTATAAATAAGAACAAAGATTACGTCAAAGTTGCTATAGAGACGAAAACAAATCATCATGTTATTAACACAAACCTTCTTTAACTGTAGTCTTTTCAATTCAGCACTGGAAGTACAACTAACCAACTGTGGGGTAGGTGTTGCATTCAGAGATATTACAGTTTCACCCCCACCGCCGGAGCCAGTAGTAGTAGTGGTCGCTGTGAACTCTCCATTATTTGCTTTATTTGCCGAGCATCCATCACCATCTATAAATAACATGATTATACATAAATGTAAGTGATAGTTTCATAAATGTTTATAAATATGCACATCAGTTGATAAATTCCAAAGAGAGAATAATTAAACCAGAATATGAGGAATAGAATTAATAAAACAGTTCTATTGAATTAAAATTGAAAAAAAAACAATTGCATTCGCGATATATTCGTAAACCCACAGGTAACACTTTAGCAATGCTTTACAATGAGTTGAAAAAAATAAATGGAATAGCATGTCGATTAGAAAAGAACTCTAGATATAATAAATGACCTAATAATAAATCATACTACGCTGTCAATATACTGGGTCAGTGATTTAGATATAACGTGCAGGCTCCAAAATCTGGAAACCGTGAGTGTGTTTCACAATGAGATCATGAGTGAACATAAATGAAGAGTACTAAATAGTTATCCATAGATTCATAGTTTTCATTGATTATCTAACGTAAGTTGTTTCGCGCTCTCAATAATATTCAATAATCTTTACATGTTACTCCACTCCTATTCATTAATAAACAGATAATATATTTTTTAAGCATACTAATACATAAAAACAAATCAGTTTCCATTCTAAGCATATCAATTGCGTATTATTTTTCTAGTTCATTTAAACAATAATAATAGTAAACTATCGAGGCGTTGACATTTATACATTAAAAAACATAATATCCTTTAGTTATAGCACTGTACTTTTTTATCAGTTTATTCAATAATTGGTAATCTAACGCACAACACGTAAAAACAAGACTAACCAGCATCAATTAAAATACGGTTAGGTATTCGGAAAGGGAAAACAAGATGATTTCTACAACTAATTTAGTTTAACGTTCTCTTTTTCGTAGACAGCTGTCTGTAATTATTGTTTATCAAACTTGTGTGTATTATGAAAAGAAAGGAAAACCCAAAATAAAGTGATATTTACCATACCAGTTATTTTACAAGAAAACAATTCTATAAACGAATTTTATTATAGTAAACTAACCTACGTAGAAAAAAAAGTGCCTACAACAACATGTACAATTTACCAAGTACTACATTTTAAAAATATAGTTTGCTTTTTCAAAGAAATCGACAGACATTACGAGTGGAATCTAAAACAAGTATGTATTTTAAGTCTTTGTGCTTGACTACTACATATTACCATAGTTCAAAGAGATTAACAATAAAGATAAAGAAATAACATTGAGAAAAAGTAAGAGTTGTAATAATGAGTTAATTATAAATAAATAAAAGTATGTTTAAGATCTAGCGGAAGATAAACAATGAGTAGATCAGGATTATTTTATTAGCCGTAAAAGTAAACTTCATTGACGGCCGAGTCGACTATTGACGATTCATAAGGATAATTAATTAATTTCAATGGATAAAATTATAAAATGATTTTACTGAAGGTTAATATATTGAATAACGTATTCTAGTTAGGAAATTTGGCTAGATTTATGGATGTAACTGTTAAGAGTATTAATAAATTAGAGACTCTAGAGAAACAGAATAATTTTTATCAGAAAAACACTCCTGGCTATGCTCTGAATTGTATCAAGTAAGCCCACGTACAATCTGTAATTCAGAACAGGTGTTTCTTGTAATTTGTTTTAACATTTACTATTCACTGTGTTGTTGAATAGTTGATACTTTCATTAATTTTAGTAGGTTTAGGAACTATTTATGGATTATTCTTATTTATTTTTAATACAATACATGCAGTCCTACACGGTTTATTTGTTTTGAATTTCAAGAGGTACCATCCCCAATCCGATCGATGTAAGCAAAGTTGTCAGTGCAATATACTGTTGACTGATTAGTTTTAAATGACTTTAACTAAAATCAGCTACTATATATAGTGATTATTTAATTGATTACTAAATGTCAGAATGGAACTTGGGACAAGGATCATATTTAAAAAATTATGTAATTCACTGATGTAGTTATACATACTTTTCACAAGCTAACTGTATAGTAGCTAAATACGAAATTCTACTAGAATAAATTTTCGTACCCAAAAACTTCAATTAACACAAGTGAATATCATAAGTCCATAATGACGTAAACATAACATTATGGAATCGGCAAAGCGCGAGGTAATCAAGTAACAAATGATCTAACAAAGGTAAATGAGAGTTTTAACTCATTCAAGGCAAACCCAACAATTTTGACTGAAACTGGATCGAATTTACATGAATATTTGATCAAAAATAGGCCATTTTACAAATAAATGCTACAACCGATGATACAAATCTTCTGAGTCATCAAAAAATTATGTTTAAAATATGATCTGAAATTAGAGTTTATGGGAAAAGGCAACTTTAAACAAAATCAACTATTAATAAACAAAAGACCTGCTTTTTTTGTTACAGTTATGAGCTGAATATATTTACTAAACGTCTTTTATGAACATGAAAAAATAAAAATAACGCATATATATATATATATATATATATATATATATATATATATATATATATATATATATATATATATATATATATAAGTACTGAATGCACGCAACGTCTTACCATCTCTATCAATTGTTAGATCCGGATCTTCAGTGACTTCATTCTCTTCTTGAATAGCATCAGTTTGACCTTTTAAAAATAAGTCCAATTGTTCTGAAAAATGAACAAAAAAGAACGAAAGCAATAAACAAAAGTAGTTTGTTATTAAAGAGTAATAACAATGAAAAGGAACAAAGAACAGTATATATAATGAATAAAAGTTTAATAATACAAGTATACTGTCATTTTTCTTTAAGGTTAATTAAAAATTTGGAATTTATGAGAATAAATTGACAAGAACAGATATTGAATGAGATTGTTACCAGGAAAATAATTTATGCTACATCTTTTTCAATTAAGTTATATATTTTTGATTTATGCAATAAAATATGTAAAGTAACGCAGCCGATTAATCTGTCTTAATTAAAGTTCTGTACAGCAGTTACGGAAAATCCATTAAATCATTTATAAACAACGTTTTACAATTCATACAACATGAGTACTGCCATTTTAGAAATATAACCTGAAAATATACAAACATTTATTTCAGAAAATAAAATGTTAAGATACATGAGTAACACCGTTTAAATAAAAATTTATATACCATAAATTTGTATTCATTGTTAAATGTTTTTTTAAAAATATTTCTCCACTTTTGTAGTACATCTAGGGGTGATTATTCATCAGCATTTGGAAGCAGTGAAAATAAAACAGGTTAGTTATTTTAAAGTAGCTAATATTTATGGTTGTTATACACAAGCAGAACTTGACACAAGTCCATCGATTAAAATTATCATAACATATCAGAACTGAGAGATGAATTTTTCAGGACAAATGCCAGAATAGTAGAAGCAGCAAGGTACAGTACTTATAGTATAAAATACTAAGCATTTACAATGTGATTTGACAAAAAAAATGAATTCCAGTATAAACAGCGTATAATAGTTATAAAATTCCAGATTTAACAGAAAAGTCAAAAGTGACTAGATCTGCACGACCATAATCGATCCTGATCCATGTCACTAAAAATTTATGAGTATCATTCACGATAATCGTGTAAAACGTATTCGGCTGGTCCGAACCTACCAACACGACATAGTTCAACAATCAATGACTTTATGGACACACTCATATCATGTATGTCTGAACTATATACTTTTGACAAATTATAGTAATTATGAGAACAGTAAGAAAAACATATACATTAAAGTTTGAGAGAAACATCTATAAAAGATTAAAATCTTTATAATTATCTTCTTTTTCCGATACTTAAAACAGATTAAAAGTAACGGATATAAGAAATTTACAGAAGAATATATTTTGATTTTTGAATAACATTAAAAAACTGTAGTTTAGATTTATCGTTCACACCCTCCACTGCATTAATGGACAGTTTGTCATATTATCCCCACTGGAATCGTTAAACCTATAGCCTAATAATGTTAATCACTTTAAAATGATGTAATCGGTTATTATTGTTTAAGGACGATTGTAAAAACCAATAATTTTGTGCAGTGATTAACTTTTGAATAAGAATGAGTTAAAGTGGTCACTTTATCACTAGTTACTTAGTATGCTATATCTCCATATATTTAGGCAAAATCACCATCCACCTGAACACATTGAGAACACCTTTCGATAACGCCTAAAATATTCACTGATTTTTTTGTACAAATGTTTATATCCTAAAATTTCTTGATTAGTGGTTGAAGATAAAAAAAACTCATTTGTTTTGCCGTCAGGTTTAATTTTTAGTCATCATGAAAAATGATCGCGTTACCATGTCCGATTTGTTGAGACAAACGTAGAACTTTCATTAAAATAACAGTGATGTTACCACGTCGAAAAATAAAAAACGTTATATATTTACTCTACTAATTGAAATAGTTTACACATAATGCTTATACATTATTTACACAAAAAACGACAAATATTTTAAAAGTTCTGGTAGCTGAATTTTTAAAAATCATTCCAATCAACCTAGCTTCACACAGTGAAGGGATAAAATAAATAAGCAAAAATGTCTGTACAAACAGAAAACTATACTAACATATTATAGGCTCCTATGTATGTTGTTAACGGTTTTTCATGAACAAATCTGATAAGTTCGAACCAAGTCCGTGTTTACAACAATTCTCCAACAGTGAATGTAATCTTATACAAATGTTTATAAAGGTACTGGTACGACACTGTTTAACTCAATGGAGAAAACTAAACATGGCTTCTACATCCTATAATAAATATTATTACTCAAAGAACAAAGTTTTTATAAAAACTGGCCAGTATATTATTCTTAACACATCATAATCATCCAATAAATTTTTATTTAAAAATATTTGATAAAAATCGCAATATAACCACAGTTCAGTTGAGGTAATCAAGAAAGAAAAGTGAGCTAATCAATTACAATTAACATCACAATATAATTTTTTTGATAATTGGAAGTGTCAATCTGAAATTGAAATTACCTACTTCTAAATCAATGAAGATAATATCATTTCAACACACCACTATAAACATGTAAAGCATTATCCTGATATTGTAAAGGTTTATTTTAGTTACAGTTAACTAATTTTTTTCCATAAAACAATTAATCTAAACTTAAAAAAAAACCGTTCTGTTTTGTTAATGAACCTTTAAATGTAAATAAATTATATTCTACAGTTGGAAATAGATGAAAGACAAAGTAATATATCTGTTGTTTGTCTGAACTAATATGATTAAATCAATAATAATTTGAAACTAAAAATCACAAATATATACATAAATACCATGGTTATTTTAAACAAGAATGTGCAGATTGAGTTAAGCGCAATTCAAAATGCAGTGTGAACTGAATTAGAAGGAAAGAGATTAAGTTCAGATGCCAAATCTGTTATTTTTGGCGTTAGAACAAACAACTTACTGGATGCATATAGAAATACTAACAAGAATAATGAGACAATAAAAAAAACAAAGATAGTTTTTTTCAAAAAAAAAAAAACGAACAATGTTCCTAATTTAAAATTAAAATGAATAAATTAAAACCAATAATTTTAAAGTAACGTGATTTTATCACATTTTTCAGAACACCTACCTCTACTTATTGTTCAATCAAAATCACTTTATATGTCTTTACTAAGATCAGTTAATGTGTTGATAAATGTTTTTGCATATAGGGAAATTCCCTTTCAATTTAAATCAGTTTATCATATACCTATATCACAGATAACGCAAAACTGATATAATTGTTTAACTTTACAAATGACTTTTAAATTATACTTATTTTGATTTTGAATGTTTTCAACAAGAATAAAAGTATGTTTCTTAGTATTTTGCTGACCAGTTGTATTGCTATTTTACAATAGGGGTGGAACAATTATTTATGAACCTCTGAGAGACGATAAAGTGACCTTGAGAAAATCCGCCTACTTATGAGAGTCAAAAGAGGATTACAGATCAGTGTAGAGGATTAGGATTAAGAGTTAGAAGTTAAGATTAGGAATTACAGTTAGTGTTTTCATTACGAACTGACATCAGCTAAAATGCAGAAATGCTATTTAGCCAAGTGGAAAAGCGAATTTCTCGTCAAAATTCAAGACTTGCTATATTAAATCACATTAATTCGTCGAGAAATTAGAATCTCGCCGACAGCACATCATTCGGAGAGGCGGTTAAATGGCATCATTGAGTATCATCATCTAGCGATCAACATACTTTGTATCAATTTCTTCACAACTAGAAACGTACAACTGATATTCACTTCATAAAACATTTTGATATAACTAGTCAACAAAATAGACCAAAGAAACAACTATAAAGACAGTAAAATAAAAAAGGAGCATCATTACCGACAAGAATACATTGAGCAAAATAATAATAATAGTAACAATAATTATAATAGTAAAAGCTTACGCTTTTCAGCTTCCGGTTTTAAACGTTTGTTCTTTATAAGAATTTTTCTTTTAAGTTTTTCAGGTGGAGGTAGAGCAACACCAGGTTCTAGCTGGTTAATTTTGCAACAAAATAACAATAAAAACGGTATCAGGAAGATGTTGGAAATGAATAAGATTCAATGACAATTCAATATTACAAAAAAATACATCCACAGAAACACACACGAAATGTTAGTTCACCAATCATAATAATAATAATAGTAATAATAATAATAACGATAACAATAAAGCATTCAAACAAAAAAATCGATTTACTACTGTTGCGTCTTTTCTACACAGTTCGTTATTTTTATTTCTAACTAGTCTCCTAACTTTCTTCTAAGTACTGAATTATTATAATCTTTTTAATAGTCTATTCACTGTTAAATTTGCTCACAGTTTTTAATGTTTGGAAATGTTTGAATTTACAAACTGTTGTATGCTAATGTTTATATTAAGCGTATAATTATATTTGTAACGTGAAATGTGCTATAATCGTCGTACCAAGGTTTATCTTAGAGATTTTCAATAAAATAAAAGACAGGATGAGCCTCTCTCACTGCAACAATCAAAGTATAATAAGAAATGAAGTATTTAATTATTGATGATCCAAAAGATATATCAATTTCGTTTTGAGTGTACAGTTAACATCTCTCAATAGATAATCGACTCAACAGTTGGAAATGTCTTTGAATCGTACGTGAATATTGGTGCTTTTAAAACGTCTAAATGACAATGAAAATATATCCACTATATAAAAACAGTAAATAATACTTATTAATAATAACTACGCAACCAATAAGAGGTAGAAATATCTAACCTCTGCAAATAGATAAAAAGTCCCTTAAAATCTTACGAACTTCAACGTTAAAACAGAAAAGAAATCTAAGTGACAAAATGAATTGCATTGGTCAAAAATTAACTGACTGATATAGAATCGTAAAACTTAAGAATAAACTGGTAACCATCAGTCTGTATTTCATTTTAGTAGTCGAGTATTGTCTACAAATTATCACTAGTTAGGTGAAAATCATCTTGAGTTGTTTAACTACAGAAAATATACAAGTATCAAATGATAAATTAAGTAACAACCAGAAAAAACTTACCGCATAATTATCCAAAGGTTTAGTAAGTAACATATCCCCAAGTATCTCTTCGCAATACTTCGCAAGCTTATACTGTTGATGTTTGCTTTTAAAAAAAAGAAGTATATAAGCAACGAACTTGGCATAAAAATGTAAAGACTCGAATTGTTACACATTACATCACCACATTGACAGAGGTATTACCAACATTAAAAAATAATAAAATAATAAAGGGAACTATGTGTATGAAAAAAAATAAAATGATTGAAATGTCAATAAAAGCGAAGATTAAGCACAGAAGGTACATTAAAAAACAGTAAATTCCAGTAATAAAATGAATGAAATAATAACGCCAAAAATTCAAAAGGTTATATATATATATATATATATATATATATATATATTCAAAATGATTTTGATATAGGTAATTCACATAAGACCTACAACAAAAGATAAAGATTAGCTTACGATACCCAGAAAAGAAAAATCAAGACCAACTGATAATGATATGATTAACTTATACAATGTTTCGGTCTACTGTGAACTACTTTTTATTTCAGGTAAATGTCAAACCGTGATGGGCAGTATTTCAGACAGTTTAAAGCGTTTCAACTAACAAAATAAAGATCAACTATCTTATCAATTAAATAAACTCCCAGTACTTCGACATTATTTACCTAGTTGTAATGATTACCTACAGTGTTAATCTTGAATTTCTCAGGTCCGATATATAAACAGGACAAATTACTCAGGTAGATAGTTCAATGTTCAAACCATAATAGCTTACTCACCGAATTGGATATATCCTTAGACAAATCCATATTATCACAGTGTGAATCATAAAATGATCTTAGCTATATCATCACTGAAAACGTGAGATCACTAGACGTCTGTTTCATCTTAGTATGGGAGTTAGAATTTAACACCGTTGGAAACCGGGTTAATGGTCTAGAGGTTAAACGTACGTGCATTAGGCCGAAGGTCCTAGCTTAGATCTCCGCAAACTAGGTCGTCGTTGAGCACTTCTCAGAAGTTCTATTCTAGTACAAAACGGTCGTTTAGTGCATTCAGATTTTCAATGGTGGTTTAGCTATGAACATTTATAATCACCAAATTCCCCTATACAAATCCATATTAGTTACAGAAGTCATAGAGCATCTTATTGTTGCAATCATGAGGAAGACATAAACATTTCAGTAAATCAATCATACACTCATAATTCTCTACGAGCGCCTATAATTAAATAAGTTCAGTTTATATACATGTTTCACTTTCGTTGACACGTTTCACAAACATGATGTATTTTACAAAATGTTCGCCATTTGACAAATAAATAAAAATCTAAGTTAGTGCAAGTTGTTAAAGCCATAAGAAATACTTGCAGAAGTAGAGTTTCTAAAAATCACTGAAATTATTATATCATGTAATATTTATTCCTAATCCACAATCACATATTGAAATTTATTGCACCATACAGTGCACTATTTTTTTATTTTAATGAGGAAATATCAATAATGACAACATATATTTTAAGGTATGAATTATATACAAATATAAAATAAGTTAATTATAGTACAATATGCACAAAATAAGCGTCAATCATTTCATGAACCAGAACTATGAAAATAATGCATTAACAAGAAGTTCAAATGAAGCTTAAAATTACACTTCTATAGATATATCCCTTGTCGATAAAATGATTTTACCATGCTCCATAACGTACACGAACCTTCATAAGAACATTTTCATATAAATTATACAACAGTGGTGTAATTCATTCATCAAAATATATCGATAGCGATTGGAATTCATTATTCATAATAAAATAAATAAATAACTTCCATTAATTAAAAATAGAAGCCTGTTTGAAATATAAGTTAAATCAAATCACATAGTGTATTTCGTTTTCATAACCAAGATAACTTTAAATAAAAGGATAAAAAGTCTATAGAAATTTTTCATCAACAGATAAACGAAAAGAATTTCCAGAGAAAGGGTAGTTGCTAGTCATCGTTTAGAAAAGTATTGACTAGCCCACAAATAAAGTAATCCATTTTAAGATTTCTTTACATCATGCGTTTCATTACATCTTCAGATAGTTTCAAAAGTTATTGATAATAAAAAAAATCATTGATTTTCAGAGGAGAATTAGGTCAACAGTTCTTTTTAAATAAGGTGAAATGTAATTCAAAACAATAATCTAAATAATCTGCCACCAGAAAGTCACTATAAATTTAATTATTTTCCACTCTATGAAACAGAAATGTAGTCTTGATTTCAGTTATCAACAGTTTAAATCTAATATTCATTTTCCAACGTTAGACGTATTAAATAATATTCAGCTAAATGTATAATACATCTACGGATACACATTCGATTACACTAATCTTTGTTTGTTTGATTGATATTTTAACTATGTTATCATTTAGTGAATCAATGCAGGTTAAAATGAAAAACATTCCCATATCTCTTTGAATTCCTTCCCGTCAACTGGTAGTGTTCGGTAGAAGATTCACTGGTACAACACAAGATACACTTAACATTTTCAGATTTGTATGATACAGCGTATTAACGCTTTTTCGTGTCACTAATATACCTTTGACTACATTTAAAAGCCTTTCATTTAGTTTATACTATGTTATCAGGTTCAAAGACCTTGAGTGCTCATGTCGAACAACCGTCCAGATGTGTGGTAATATGTAATCTATCAGCTAAATAAACAAAATAACGTTGCTTGATATTCTGACATTTACATTATTGATTTGCCACAGGAAGAAAAATAACGAATATTGCCTTGTATACATAGGTTCTCAAGCGTTTGAGGATCATGCGTATAGTGTGAAATCATACTTGTGTGGTGCTGGTGAACGGCTGCTACACCACAACGATATCTTTACATATTCACCAGAGACTTTTTGCGAGTTCCTGGCCCAACTGTTCGATTACCAAGACAAATGATCTACTCAAGTTACAAGATTCAGACACTCCTGATATTCGTCCGCGATTTCATAATCCAGAAAAGATATGTGTTTGAACCAATGAGATTATGTGATAACAATGATAAAGTTGTAGAATCTAACTTTTGGAGTCATCGAAACGAAAACGGTGGCTGTGTGTTATTATTATTATTATCAATGGCTTTAGTTAATATTATATTTTGGTACAATATAGAATATTCAGCACGATATATATCAACAAGTTTCTTTTACAAAAACAACAGAAAGGAAAAGAAATGGAAAGAAATATCTGAATCTGTACAACTTTTCAAATTAGAGACATGTTTAAGAATATAGGTTATTGACTAGGTTAACTCTAGCAAGCTGTTCATTACAGAGTATGTTTGCTAGGTAAGGTAATTTAGAACTTTCATATCTTTGCTTTCGTGTATGGATTTTAATGCATTTACGTCTCGTTCTACCAAAAGATATACAAAGTGAAAGATATGAGTGAATGGGATGGTTAGTATCTGATAAGATAATACCTGCCTGGAGTTTGCAAGACTTCAAATGTCTATCCACAACGACATTAGTAATGACCTCTAAAGATTCACCACACACCTTGCTAACTGCCTTCAGCACTCTCCACAATACATCAAAGTCTTTTCTCAAAAAACCCGGGAAAGAATAATGAAGAACAGTAAAGAATAATAGATAATATACATGAATTGACAAATTGTAAAAGTAAATGACGAGTAATCCAAAACGCGTGCAGTCTCTTTATATAGCAAGTCCAGCATAAAGCTTTCTTCGATAACAGAAAAAACATGAGAAGACCAATAGAGATCAGAGGAAAAGGTAACACCAAGATGATTGACCTTCGACACTGTGTTTATCAAAGTCTCCAATGACACAAGTATTATGGGACCTCAAAATGGTGTTTAGATGCTGTTCACGTCTGATAATAAAGTTAACAGCTTGACATTTAGACGGATAAAGTATATGGCCATTAACAACAGACCACCATTCAATACGAGACAAAAACTCATTCATTTCTATCGGATGTAACGAGGTAGAAATCGGTATATATACAGTGAGATCATCCGCATATTTCACAAAAGTGTTTTCTGTAGGAAATGGAAGATCATGTAGAAAAAAAAGAGGGAAGAAGAGGTGGAAGAATGGCTCCTTGTGGTACACCTCCATGAGATAGTAGAGACGTCGAACACTTTCCTCCAAACACAGTGTATTGTTCTCTTCCAGAGAGACAGGAACGAAACCAATTGGTTATCCATCTGTCAGTGTTGACGCTGATTAACTTGTTAAGTAAAAGATGTCTTGGGATGGAATAAAAAAAGAAAGTACGGTCCAAAAACGCACATCGAACATACTTCTTACTCTTTTCCAAGCTGAACACTATATTGTGATGCAGAACAACAACGCCATCTAAGGTCTCTATTTGAATTTGTAAACAAACTAATACTGATCAATGTGCTCTTTTATCGCAAGTTGAAGTGGGAGTATCAATAATTTTTCCATTATTTTGATGAAAGGTGAAGTTATTGCTGTGGGTTTAAAGTTCACATTCTTATCACCAGACACTTTCTTGGGTATAGGAATTATCCTTATCTTTCTCCGCATTTTCGTATGAGATTAGTTGAGAAGGATCTGTTAAAGATACTCGTGAATGGGCAACATAGAACGTCAGCACATTTTTAAAAAAGGAGGTTTGGGATACTATCAAGTCCTAAACATCGGGATGAATTACGTTACTGGAGATATCTTCGGACATTAGTTTCAGTAAAACTAGAAACACAACTATTCATTAAACCTGTGGATATAGGGAGCATTACATCATATGACTGACGTACAAAAGACTTGTTTAAGTCAAAAACATTCAGCTGATAATCGCTTCTAATGTGCCTGTCACCTGTAAGTTCTTTAAAAAGTTTCCACATACTTGGAGAGTGTGTAGTATTTCGAATAGAATAAAATTGATGAACTCAACATTTTATATGATGAAGCCATCGTAAACTCAGTTCGCGTGTTGACTGGACAGACTACATACTACACTATGAACTATTCAAACAAAAACGAAAGTTCAGATGGTGAAGATTTGTAGCTCAGGTGGATGATTTCGATGGAGTTTTGTTCTCTGAGCTGGATGGTTTGAAGTCTATCTGAAGTTTGTGCTGATGATGTCGTTCAGAAGAACGATGAAAGCTCCACGATCAAACCATTCAGCTCAGAGAACAAGACTCCATCAAAAACGAAAGTATTATTGCTCAGTTTACTGAATTTTATAATTTATCACTATACTAGATAATAGACTAATAATGAGAAATACAATAAATGTATTTCATTGACAAGATGTACAGATTACATACAACTAATAATAACATTAGATTCATACATATCTATTCAGTTTTTGAGTTATTACAATTTCTAATTGAAATAACAATCTGCATGAATATAGAAATTTCCCATATTATAATTATTATTTCATTGTAATTTAATCAATATTCATTTTACTAAGTAATTCATCAGTTTATTTAAAAAGAAAAACACTAAAGCCTAGTTCCATTGACTATATGGATATATAAAATATATTCTAACGATATTTTATATATGAAAGTAATTTATCCATTCTGATTAGATCTAATCCATGATACTAAGAATGAGTATAATTTACATTTGATCAATCGATAATTAACACCCAATAACCAATGAAAGTTAAACGATTGACGAAGATTACATGTATTTGTTTGTATAGGATCTTAAAAGATGAATGAACTAATGGATCACCTTTTGACTTTTGTATAACTAATGGTGATTTCTATATCACTTTGAAACAATATTTTATTTTTTTTGAAGAATTGACTATAACATGCGATTCAGTAATGAGAGGAATTCAAAAAGAAAAAGAAACGTCATCAAACTATAAGACAGAGTTGAATAATTAATGTATAGAGCCGGATCTTTGAGCGATGAAGTCTTTGGTTTTACAGAAATTCAAACTATCTCTTTATCCTGTTAAATCTCTGAGTTTACAGTTATTTTCTTTTTCTAACCAAGTAGCAGTAACACTTTGACACGAATGATTTCAAAAATATTTTCGTAGCAAAATTTGTTCATAGGTTAGATTTGAAGATTCAAAAAAGATTGTTGATGCTTCAATCATAATAGTATAAAGCATATATGTAATAAAAATATAATACTAAAGATAAACAGACATAGAATAGGGTGTTACATATGAGAAGTATAAAACAATGAACATCTAGAATTTGACGAAAATGTATCATGTTTAAATAATCCAAGTGAACATATTAAACAGAACAATATTAGTTTGTAGTTGTTAAATATAAAGATGCAATTAAGAGCTGTTGAAAGCTCTGTGTTTTTATATGATCAATCCGCTAGAGATATACTGATTATTTTTCTGCATACTGAACTGTAACAAGTTTAAATATTAACTATTTATTCTAATTACTTCTATCGCAGGTGACAATCTTGTCTCTAATAAAAAGCATATGAACAGATAGAATTTACTTGCTTTCAATATTTAGATTTGTGGGAGGGGGGTGGAATTACAACTATAAAGTCATGTAAAGATCATATTTCCAAATTTGTGTCTAAATATTATACATAAAATAGGACACAACTTACAAAAATTATATAATTTTCTAACTGAGATCATATTTAATAAATATGACATTAAAAAATTCCATTTGAAAAAGGACATTTTATGCACAGCGCCCTACTGAGCATAAAATAAATAAAATCTCAATGAATTATTATGTGAACATAAACGAATAGAGTTTACCTGCAATGATTTTCAAAAGACATGATAACTGGACAGTCGCTGGCTACGAATGCTGTATCTCTAATTGCATAAATTACATCCTGTAGAAAAATAGAAACCAAACAGATGAAATCGACACATGATCAATTTACTGTTTTTAACTCTTTGTATCATGTACTAAACTGATAAATTACATTATGTAATCTTTAACATTCATCGAATTACATCTATCAACTATTAATACAGTCGCTAAGGCAAATGATTAAACCTGAAAACGCATTTCTCTGATGTGAACGGAAGAGTGATGAGTAGTTTTACTGAAATACGTTTCTTGGAAGTTGACACTTTTCAACCAGATATAATAACAATATTGGGGCTGACAATCATCCATACTTTCAAAGTGATGTAATCCAACTATGCAAAAACATTACCGGGAGAGATCAACTGAATGGTTAAAGTTATTAAGCTGTGAACATTTAAACTTTAAAAACGTTAGTTACACCTATACCGCTCTAATCACAAATAAACGTATTGCGACACTAGATGATTCGAGCCTTCATATTTAGTCCTTTGACAGAATAAAGTCGAGAAATTTATATATGGAAGAAGAATAACACGAGAGAAACAACCAAAGGAAAAGTCTTAAAGGGAATTAAAATGGAAAAGAAATGTCCTTCAGTATATACAGACGAATTGAGTGCGAAGCGTGTTTTATATATATATATATATATATATATATATATATATATATATATATATATATTCCAACTATAAAGTTTAATGAGCACTACCATATGGTCTATATTTAAAACATTTTGCACTTTCATTCAGCCTGCATCGTCCTGCTTATGCCCAGAGTCTAGCAACAAGAAAATTGCCACAAATACTTAACTAACATGAGTACTTTCAATTTGACATTCTAAACATATCTATATACATATCTTGAAAATTTACTGATTATTAGAAATGTTCTATACATAAGTATAGTTAGCCAATTATTATTCATTGTAAAGAAATAAATATTTAATTACAATAAATGACAAATGAAGTTTCAAAAACGAAAAAAAAGATAGAAAAGGAATAAACAATTCGCTTTTAGATCAACCACTCAAATCACATTAATATATAGGGAAAAGTATATTAATTTCAGGGAATAATTCAATAATACTTAGGACCATAGAGATGATAAGATTGATTTGATTCTAGACGACTAATTTAAACAAGAAAAGCGTGTTGGAGATAATAAAAATTCATAAATAAATAAGGTTCAAGGTAAAAGAGGATTAAAAAATAGAAGTGTTAACATTTGATAACTTATCAGGTTGAGTAGTTGGAGAAATATTTGTAGAAATTGTATGTGATAATATGAAAATCTTTTCTAAACGTATCTTTTCCAAGGTCAGACTTCTTTTTATGATGTATATGAATGTTAACTTTGAATTGGATTGGTTTGACACATTATCTATCTATCAGCTTTCTGATCCCATTAGAAATTTCCAAAAACTAAAGAATATATTGTTTTACTCAACCAACAATAGATATGGTGATCATAATCATCGTGTGCTCACAAGTGACTAGCTTCAAAATGGATTTCCTGAAGTTCAGTGAACAGTGGAGTCCGATCTGTGTCGGTTAGATACAGGTATCTACTTCAGATGACGAATGAAGGATTGCGCAAAATCATGGATCGGTCGAAGTTAGACCTTAACACCGTTGAATGCCGGCTCAGTGGTCTAGAGCTTAAGCCTTCGCGAGCGAGAACAAGGGTCGTGGGTTCAAGTCCCGCATGTGGGATCGTGGTTGCTCGCTGCTGAGGAGTCAAATGCTAGGACGAAACAGCCGTTCAGTGCTTCCAGGTTTTCATTGGTGGTCTAGCTTACGTCGGCTCATGAATTCAACTATTGAATTTAAGATTGTTTCTTTTATTGTTTCCTTCCTATGGAAAGCGGTGAACAGTAATGTCAAAATTTGGCAGATAAAAACATAGCTTGAGGCCCGCAATTAATCAAAAAATGGACCGAAACTGAAAAACAATATCAAGAATATTGAATTTTAACTTAAAACGTTTAGAAATTGTGACTGTAGCGAAATGATTCAATTTTATCCAAGATTATAAGTACAAACTACTTAAAAGCACCCGATAGTTATTAATTTCTAGCATTCAATAATTCGTAACAAAAACTATAAACATATCTTTATAAAAACATAATTAATTCCTAGTCAATTATTCCATTAAAGGTCAAACCTATTGATTCTATTGTTATTTTTCTTCTCTTGTAAATATCTTTCGTGTACACATTGACCTAGAAATAAAACTCAAAATTACGTCCACTTTTATGTGATTAGTTTTAATGATGGACTGTATGCAGAACAAGTGAACTGGATACATAATTACCATCAAGTATATGAGTTGATTAGGTGAATATATATAATGGATTATCAGTCACATCTATCATAAGTAATCCATATTAAAATTAATTAAATAAAATGATTATGGGAATTAAAACGTTATCTGACCTGTGAAATGTTACTTCATTTTTTTTATAAAATTGGAAATTAAGATTAGTAACAGACAAAATATTTCAGCAATAAATTTAAGGTTTTACCTCTATATAAATCAACTAAGTAATTTGATATAACTAAACGTTTATTTCATTTCCTTGTCACTATACTCCAAAGATAACATATGAAGATTATTATTATTACTATTACTATTATGACTGTTATTATTATTAGTAGTAGTAGTAATAGTACTGCGGAAAGCAGAATACTTTAATATGTTTATGCGTAAATAACTGTTTTAAGGAATCATGTACATTACTGATCAGTAGTATTAGTTGACCAATAAGTAGTGTTTCCAAATTAATTGGAATGACGAAAAATAAAACATCCAAAAAGAAATTTCAATAGTTGAGATTATGAGTCAATTGAAGCTAGACCACCATGGGAAACCTGGAAGAAAAGGATGGCCGTTTCATCCTATTGTGGGACTCCTCAACAGTGCGCATCCACGATCCCATCTAGCGTGACCCGAACCCAGGACCTGTCAGTCTCGCGCCAGGCGCTTAACCACTACACCACTGAGGCGGTATCCAACGGTGTTAATGTCTAACTTCAACTAATCCACGAAATTGAGCGACACATTCACCAGTCATCAGTGAGTTCCTATCTCACAACTGACTCGGTTGAACTCCACTAGTCATTGCTTATCACTAGAACTCCGGGATATACCTCTTAAAGCCAGTCCAATCCAAAGATAAGACAAAGAAAGAACGTAATGTGATCAAATTATTGATGTGAAATGAATACGATAAAAGGAAATCAATGTATTTTCTTTTTAAATTGCTATTCATTCATAGTTATGAAATTCTTTCTAATAAAAAAATCTAGTTAAAATTTGTCACATATTTGTCTAATACAAGAAACATGAGTATTAAATATTTTAGATATCTGCTGAATATAATAAAAATACTAGTATTATTAATAAATAATTCATTATTATCAAAGTAGACAATATGTACCAATAAAATAATAAACTAACAAACAATCTTAATACTACTGAAGTATTCAGAATAAATAGAAATGGTAGACATTTTATAGAGATTAATTAGAGAAAAGAATACTGAATACTTTAGAGGTTAAATACATAATACTAATTACAAAAAATCAAACTGATTTCATATCTACTATACATTATATATTTTATGCAATATTTTTCATCGTTTTCTGTACGTCACAGAACAATACATTTTAAGTAATCAAACGATTTACTAAGTTCAACAAAGAATAAACAAGCGTAGAAATAGAATAACATAACATTAAAAAATGAGAACTATTTAAGTTAGGTATACTATTCAAAATGACATTGATAAGATATTGGTATTACAAGAGAATAAACCTTTAGATATATGATAAATATCATAATGGTGCTACCGAAATGTAACATCTTATTAACAAAAATTCATGTATTAAATTGTTTGTGAGCTTCGGGTAACCGAAAGGTTCTTCAAAATTTCAAATGTTACCGGTCAATCAAGAACATTGTTAATTTGTTTGTAAGGACGGTCCACGGGTTAACTCGAGGAAGCTTTAAGAAATTCAGAAAGAGCTGAAGATATTCCATTCAATTATCTTTCGGAAGCATATTCCAGAATCTGTATGTGGAGCTTCCCTACTACACAAATGCTAATAACCCTCTGTATGCGGATTGAAGGACTATAATGATGATTTCGTTTTTACTGAAAACTATAAATAACTGACAGTTCTGTACCATAAATGACACTATCTGGAATAGCATTCCTTTCACTTGTCTTCTGTCTTTTCACTTGAGACTTGAGAGGGATCTAGCGTTCGAGTGCTCAAGTTATACGCGGCATATTAAGAATCTAAGCTCTAGACATAACAGTTGTGCCAATTCTATTGTATTCGAACAGTTACTAAAATCAGTGAATCTGGGTTCCTACCTTCATTCAAATATCTTCTAGACCAGAACTCACGTCAATCAGTATCGTTACGGTTGAGATGGAAGAAAAATATAATTTTTCTTACTAGTCCGCAATCATTCAGCAGGTCTATCAGTTATATGTAATGTAGAACCTTGACACATGAGTACATCAATGGAAGTTGTCATAGTCTATTTACTCAGTTGGAATTTAAATATAATCTTTGGCATCAATGAACACCATAATTTACTTTCATTTCTTTATTTACAAACATAGTGAGAAACTGTACGTGTAAAAGTCAATTCTAGGAAATATATACCTATATCTATGTAAGTAAACACTCACTCCAAAATATGGCCAAAAAGCAAATAAACAAACAAGTAATAGATTATGCAAATAATTCCCGAGAAAAGGAAGGAAAATTATCATCAAGTGAATGTAGGTCAAATTCCAAATAAAAAGGATATATTTGTTTAGGAAAAATGGGTAATTTTTGTACACAAAGGTCAGTATGAAACTAATAGGGCAAAACTTCTAGTAACAAGAACAACATCAAAACGAAAAGTTAACTAATATTCTGCGGAAAAAAATTAAAAAGCAACAGAAGGCAAAAAGATATCTTAGTAATAAAAAAAGGAATAGAAAAAAAGTTCCATACACCAATGAAATAAATCAAGTTACTTAGTTGAAACTTACTTTAAATAGTATATCAGTACACATTGCTTTACCATGTGTGATTATTGGTTCTTGATCTTCGCCTCGACCATCCCAACAATCCAATTCAATACATCTTGAAATGATGACAAGAAAAATTGAAACGAATGTAATAAAGTGTAGTGAAAAAATCACTGTGCAACCATAAGTAATTTACATTGGTCTTCGTTCTCAGTGGAAAATACGAACTCAGAGAATCAGACCGATAAACATTCCAATACAGGATTTATTGCGGAAGTTATAAAAGTTGCAGTGACAGAAAATGGAAGTTAATTTCCGCGTCTATGAGCACATTTCTTAGTAATTAGGATCAATTAGTCGATATGCTTTCTCCTATATAATAGCTTGTCATCTACTAGGAGGCATGCCACTAGCATTTAAACTTTAAACTTCTTGCATTTTACCGAATCTATCACTTTCAAAAAACAAATCGGATGCATACGTTCTAAAGGAAAATGCTGTCAGTCTTGTACTACTATGAAGATCTCAATTACGAACACAGTTCTGTAACGGCTAATTCATTTTTGCAATTATACACTCACTTTCTTCATCCTTTCTTGAGTTTTAAGTTTCAGTTATCTAACACTTATAATCAATTTGTTCTTTTGTAGCTTTTATTAAATTACTTTGAACATAAAATATTCCCAGTTACCCACATTTACGAACGTTTACTTCCAGAATATCTACAGTATTTGACGTGTTCCATTAAGGTGAAAGCCTCTCGTTACTTTTACATACTTATCATCATTCTTAATTACACCTCACTGATGAGAACTTTTCTGGTATTGCGACACAAAATATGTTTACTGCTAATACTATTATTTTCTAAACTATAAGTAGCTGAAAAGAATCCATGAAATAAATGAATTTGCTTTATTTAAAATTTATAAATGGGAAATGTATGAAATATCAACATTCAATTCGTGTAGATACATGCGTGCATGTGTATAGTTTGTTTATGTAAGGTGATTTGTTTTAACTACCATTCGCAACAGATAAATTTTCTGAAAAGACTCAGAGTTTAGCTTTAATACAGTTAAATGGTAAGCATCACATTCACAACAGTTATTTTGATAATCACTATTTATCCGGAATACAGAAAGAAATAGTCCATGTAACTGTTTTGTTATTTGTTTCTAAATCATAGACATTGAGTTATTTCTCCATAAAATAAACCCATATATAGTCGCTTAAAAAGAGGGCCAAAAACATGAATCATGTTAACTAACTAAGTAACAGGAAGTATGATGAAAGATAGAAAGATTACAGTGGAGATCATGATAAATGGACAAAAAAAACTACAAAATAAAATAGGTATTACAGAAAAAAATGTAGATCTAATCATTACAGTATATGTTATGTTTGACAGAACAAGAAAAACAAACAATGTATTCTACTTGTCTATCCGCCATAAGGAGATGTAGTATACTTGAATTCAATGTATGAACTAGTAATTCCGACAACCATTGAACGTATACTCTAGTAGTCACGAGTGGACCAGAATTTATTTTGAAGATAAAGCATTCAACACACACACGAAAGTATTATATCGTAATTAGAATTAGGTACATCACAACGTACATATTAATCATCATTATATCCAAATATCAGATTCCTCTTCAAAAATATATATTGTTTAACTGAAAGTTAATTTTATTAGGTAGTCGACCGATTTGTTCAATCAATATATAATAAGGAAATAAAGATAAGGTATAGAAAAGTGAGAATAGTTGATTTATGAAACATCATTTATCGATGGATGTGGAAAGAAAAAATTTTGTGCATAAACTAAAAATATGATCAAATTTCGATTAATTAGTGAAAGAAGGATTGGATTACTGCTAAGAAAACTAAATTAGTTAGTTAAGTGTTAGTTTCAAATCCAATTCACACTACCCCAAACACATATATAATGAATTAACTAATTAAATAAAAGACAATTTATGATAAGTAGGTGATGGTTTAAACAAAATAACGTTCCATTTTATAACTGTCAATTGGTTTACGAAACTAATTTTAAACAATTATACCTATACAAGTGAACGCATCAGAAAAGAATTTTACAATGATAATTATAAGTGAAAAATAAGTAAATCAGAAAAGCGGTATTATTATATTAGTCGTCTGTCAACAATTTGTTTGCAGATTTGCACCCGTGTCTTCTGACTACAGCTTAAGTAATTAGAAAATAGTAACCTTCATTCAAACATGTAGTTCTATACTGGGTTATTTAATTTTCGTTATACAGCTAAGTTATGCTAAGCACTAAAGACAAACAGATAGCTTAAACAATAGACGAATAATCCAAACAATCGTAAACTTAATTCATTGGGTTATACGTTAGAAAGTTACTTCACCTACCAAAGCTTTAGTGGATATATATAGTCAATTGATATGTTATAAATCTTTAAAATCATTTACGTACAGCTATAAGTCTAATCAAACATATAATCACGTAAATACTAGGATGAGCTGTCGATTAGCTAAAAAGTGTAGAAAACTATTGGATACGTTCAGATGTCATACAATTGGAAAATAAAAACACCTGAAAATTTACAAAACATCGACTTTTAGTTGGCTTCTTATGATTTATTGTATTTACCATGGTATTTCTTCTCCACAATGCTTCAAGAACAGCAATGTTTGTCAAAATGTATGTGCAGAAAATTTCAAAAAATCTATATTACGACTGAGAAATTAGATGGTCAAAAAGCACTGATCCAACTAAAACAGTAAATACATCTAATTGGCGTCGAAAAGTGTTGTAATTCATGCAGACCAATAGTTGCATAAAGCATCGTGTCAACAAAACAATCCCCGAATATAGTGCTGATGTTAAAATACTAACGTTTAAAAAAGCCTGAGACAACTATGAACTGTTATTAACGTACATGGATTGTATGATATTGAAGCAGGAAATTCCAATAAGCAATACAATTTTTATTGATATTCATAACAGAAAATTTTATTAGTGATCAGTGAACAAACATGAAAATGGAAATTACAGAGGTAAGGGGTAAACAAAAACAACGTGAATAATAGCAATGTTGGTAATGATAAGATGCAATCAAAAGCAACAAAAATCTTTCAAGTTTATACACAAGATATATAAAAGGTTAGGTGTTAGTTGGATTGAATAATAAAGGTAAGATAAAATAGGCAACCAATAAGTGACCACTGTCAATTGATACTGAGCACGTTTCCTTTAAAAATTTTGAAAATATTACGTCGAAATAATTAGACGTTGAGTAATTATAGAGTGGTGTATGCTAATTATGTCAAAATATACAAGTAGTATGTAACACTAATCAGAAGTAGAATGCTTGGCAGTAAAAGGTCCACTATCAACAGAGAACTAAACAATAACACTATATTTTAAAATAATAACATTTCATGTTTACTTTTTAGTAAGTATAACTGCACGTGAAAACAACAGAGAAAGAAAAAAAGATTGAAGACAACATTCACAGACCTATAGCAACAAGTCTATTTTGACAGTTAGGTATATAAGGTTGAATTGCCGATAAAGTGATATATTTTTAAACGGATAGAAGATTGAGAAAGTAGTCCTGTTTACACAGTTGTATGACAACATGTTTACACACTTTGGTGAATAGATAGAAAGAGTGAGGAAATCATGTATACATTAATATATGAAGCTTGAGTTCATCAAAGTCTACTACATACTTTCATTCGTATAAATTAATAAATTATAATAAGATAAAAAAACGTCATACTAAATGATACTCTCTAAAATTGTATCCACTGGCAAGTTTGGATACTAAATTTAGACGAAAAGATTATTTGAAACAAAAGTGAATTAAAATTGTTTTCGAAATGATTTTCCAGCTTTTTTTCACTACAATAACCCATTGGTCGAGTAGATAAATGTAATTGTTGCCAATATTTTAATTACAATTCAAGATACAATCATTATTGCTGTATCGAAATGGTGTAGCTTATGGAGTGGTAATCCAATAGGTTGGAACACTTCATTTTTATCAACAAGTGGAAACTTCACTTCAACTATATTCAGTAGATCAGTCTAAAAAGAGGGAAGGTAGTCTTGCTAGTCCTTACACTAAACCTACAGCTAAAAATGTGATAAACACAAGTTCGCCTACTATTTTAATGTAAATAACTTAAAACCGCTACAGACTGGAATCTAATGACAATTGCAATAGATAATCTTTAATTAAAACTAAAATAAAAACTAACCGACAGCCAGCCAGTAATACTTGTCGATACATTTCAACAGATGATTTACCACCAAATTGTCGTCCAATCAAATACGTATTATGTGATGAATTAATATAATAGTGACTGAGTGGTTGATCCATATCTTGATAAATATCTAACTTGTCCAAAAATACACATGCATTATCATCAGACATTAAATAACGATAAAAGCATTCAATGGATACCTCATCTGTGGATTAAGAAAAAATAAAAATGAAAAGGAGAATAAATAAGACGAATAAAATAGAACAACGAGAGGAAAGAATTAAACCAAATGATTAAGTATAATAAATTATAGTAGAGAAGCCAATGAAAATTTTATAATGAAATAAATGATTTTTCAGATTATGATTACAACAGAAGGTAAGAAGTATACGTCATACATTTGTTTGGAATACGGGGTAGAAGAGAAACTAAGCTACAAAAGCCTTCTCATCTAAATAAAAGTATTAATATACACGTCTGTAGGAAAGAAATCAAATAGGATTACGTTTTGAAGGGAACAGTTTCATTTTGTGGAATCAGTGTCTGTCTGTATGTGCCCGTGTGTATGAAGTTTCGCGATGAGATAACGTTTAATCAATATTATGCAACTACAACTTAATGTCCATTTAAATATTGTATCTGATAGATAGTGTATGTAATATTAGTTTTAAAAAAATCAACCCAGTTTAACTCCAGAAAAAGAGAAAAAATCAATTCGTAATGATGACATAATAATTAATAATATTACGAACACTTGTTAAAGCTAGTGAATTATTAAATATTTATAATTTATACGGATAATTATTGATTACTAAAACAGCTTCAGGTGAAACTTTAATCAAACCATATATGACAAACATAGTCGCATCGTTAAGTAATATTCAGATTGATGAAGGATATCAAAGGCAAAAATACAGTTATTAAAAAATTAGACAAATGTCTGCAGAGTTAGTGACCCAGTGAACCATCTTCTACTGAGATTAGATATGCACGATGCATATTCAACCATCTCACACCATAATGCAGCGTGCTGTCTAATCTACAACCAATCTGTAAAATATTACAATTGACCAATTTATGATATGGAGTCAGTTGAAAGTTATCGGGTGTAGAATGTAAATGTTGACTTGTATGTCGGCCATCTCAAGACACTCATAGAAATCTGTATCATAAATGTAAACACGTTTTGTTATATCCTACTAAACTTTAGGCGTTGAACTGTTTCATAATTTTCACTTCATGATTTTACCCACTATTTTGTAAGTATGTTCTCTAAGTTTAGTAGTCATCCCGACTAATATTATATTCCTGACTTATTTGCTGTCCATACTACCTATTTGCCGTCTTAATGTGCCGATTAGCTAGTATGAGATATTGATGAGATTCAAATTTTTGGAGATCCATTATAAGCAAAAGCAATATACGATTTAAAATGAAAATGTCTTCCAAACTTACCAGTATTTTTGAATTCTTCTTGTGTTTCATAATTTTCTTGAATATACTTAATAGTTTGTTTGTTAGCAAATGGATAGAGAATTTCATTTAGGCGAGGGTCACGTTGAGTCTATGAAAATAAATAAAATGTATTGGTCGCATAAAAAATAGTAAATTGCCAGAATTATCATGAACTGATCAATGTTAGATCACCATACAATTTTCCCCATTGATAAATTTAACTAAACCAGGCACAATTAACGTAACAGAATAGTATGGATTCCTTTTATTTTCCTATTCCTCATCAATTGCATCCAGTCTAAACATAATAGTATTAATCATTGGGAACCAGTGTACATAGTTTATGTATCATAATATCGGAAATGTTTACATTAATGAAGATCAATAAAAAGAGATAATAAATATAAAAAATTATATGAGATGTCTATATATTAAATGTAAAGGTTTATGGGTTGAATACGTGAATATTCTACAACCAACAACTAAAAACATAGAAAGAGAATTATTTAGAAACGAAATAATGTTATTAGTTATGCAATTCTAAAAATACAAGTAACTAACTGGGTGGAGATCAGATAAGAAGTTGGAATTTATAATTAGTGTTGTGAAATGAAACAAATTGCATAACAAACATTTATGAATAACTTCACCATGGCAAATCAGGTATAGTAACTAAGAATTTCGAAATGCATCGATTTGGTTTAAGTCTCTCTATACCAAGTGCTTCAGTGGAGTGAAGTAAAGTCGAAATTAGTTAACTATCTTTAAGGGATTTGAGACGTGGACACTATAATTACCGTCAAGCAAATGGTGTGCAACCGCACTGTTGAAAGCATGTTACCACTGAAGTCTAAGCTATCATGGAATATGCTCAGAGATTCGGACAATAACATTACATTTTTTCTTATAATCTATATGCTTTGGTAAACACACAAACTGGTAGACAAAATTGGAGATAACATAGTGTGGGAATTCGTCCACATATGACCGTCTCAATGATCAATTTCTTTGATACATAGAGATTAGCTTGGTAGTTGGATGTATCCTTTACTTAATGGCCTTGAATCTTGTTGGGGTATTCAGAAAATACCCCAGAAATTATCTAATGCTATTCCTGAATGAGAAATGGTGTCATTTCCCCATTGGTCAATATTCTTCCAACGTGTCATTTTCCCGTTGGTCAATATTTGTTTGTGTCATTTCCTGGAGGTCAAATCTTGTACGAATGTTATTTTCTATTTTATGGTACGATGTAGTCTGTTTGTTTGGTATATAAACACAGTTTGTTTGAAATATAATGATTCATATCACAGAGGTTGAGACTTGTATTCTGGACTCAACTGGCTGGGCTAAACAGGGAAGCAGGGCTAATCAGAACTCTAGGCTGTTCTTACGTGTTTACGCGTCTTTCGTCCGATCGATAATTCGCTGCCCTCTAATCCGCGCGCGTCACAACATATAACAATTGGCGGGTCACAAATTATAACAAATCTATTATTTTATCAACCTTGAAGCTAAGCCTCAGGAAAACAGGCATTTTCTTAAACATAGCCTACTTTATTTCCTACATTTTAGTCTCTTCATACTTAATTATAAAGAGAAACCGCTAAATAAAATGAATTCATGTTCCCCTGCTAAATTTATTTTCTTGCGTCAGCCTACTCACAAATTATTTACTAAGTTTTTAGTTTAGAGAAATGAAAACCAAACCTGACCACACTTTCTTCAAGGTTTCTCACAAAAAACATCAGATATTAGAGAAAAGCAAAATAAGTTACTTATAGATCTCAAAAAGGCAGCACACATGAAACTATATTCTCAATGTATAGGAAAACATGACAAGAACATTAGATATCCATTAAATGGATGGCACAATATTTCAATACAAATCCCCATCCAAAAGCATGAAAAAATGTCATACAAAATAGTGAAGTAATTAATGAGGTGACGATAGAAAAATGTTTTTGAAAATGAATGATATTGCAGAAATATTCTAAGCTATAATTTGGAAAACTAACTACCACCAATGTGAGAAAGCAGCTTTTGTAAACCTAAATGACAAGAATTGTGTTTTATATATATATATAGCCCCCGAATGCCTTGGTACAATCGAGTGAGGGGAGAGTCATCTCTCCCTCTCAAAATGCTCTCAAGTGGCCACGTGCATGCAATCACTGCCAGGGAAGTCCTACTCACTATCTTCTCAAAGTAGGTGTGTTGTTTACGAAATTCAGAGGACAAAAAGAAAATGTCCGGCACTTGAATAGGGTTGGTGGATACGGAGTATTCACTTAGGGGAGTTGAAAAACAGTGATTCCAAACCAATGGTGTACATGGGCTCCAGGATCCTGAAGGAACAAATGGCATATGAACCAACGGCTACAATGGGACTTCATCTCCTGACGTTGCTTCACTGCCTTGTGGATTAGACTTTAGGTCAAAGGATCGGAGTGTGAACCCCTAAGAAAACCATCTACTTCGGTTTGGACGGCCGAGCAGTACCCCAGCCCTCACATAAATCGAATGATTTATGTGGCGTATATCCATTTGGTGCCTCCTTCGATAATTGTTCATGTGTTTAAATAAATAAATACATGAAGAGAGTGAAAGGTAAGCTACGCGGAACACCTGGCTAGTCCAATCTGTTACGTAAAAATAAACCAAAGAGTTTTGATGAATTGAATCGTTTTAGGATTCTTTTCAAAAATAATTAAAATTAACCATGAGAATAAAGTCTAAAATTCTCCCAAATTCTAATCTGAATTCATCATGTCCTCTATTTTCTTTCCAAATTTATTCCACTGGATTATACTCCTTGAATAACATCATCAAACCCCAATGTTCCCGATTACTACTGATACTTTCACAACCTCTACCACTACGGGATTTCAATCGACAAATGCATCTCTGTGCTTATGTGGTATGGCAACTCGAACTGATGTACGTACGTACGAAGTTCCACGTTGTTACTGACTGACTGATTGATAAAGTCTAGAAACTGATTAATAAAGTCAAGTAATAATAATATCGTTAAGATCATGAACCAATCTAAGTTAGACCACTATTGAAAATTTGTAAGCACCGGACGGCTATTTCGTCCTAGTATGTGACTTCGCAGTATTGCACATCTACAACCCCATACTCATGACTCGAACCCAGCACCTGAATACTCACGCGAGAACGCTTGATCTCTAGACCTCTGAAATGGCATACACTAGTGTTAGTATCTAGCTTTAATCAACCCATAACATTGTGCGACCATCTTCCATGATTTCAATCAAATTCAACAATTTCCATAACTCCATAATAAAAATCATCATGTGCTTACTAGTGACTAGATTAAAGAAGACATTTCCACAGTTCTAATGAAAAGTAGTGATCAGTGCATCAAATCGGTTTCGTGTGTGAAACAGCTACTCTCCGAAGACAATTGACAATGGTCGCGCAATGCCGCCAATTAATTGAAGTTAGACATTAACACTGTTGTATGCCGTGCCAGTGCTGTACAATTAAGACATTCGCAAGTAAGACTAAAAGTTCTGGTTTCCAGTAATGCATGTGGATGCGTGCCCCTGAATAACCTCACACTACGATGATACTATCGTCCAGTGATTCCAGGTTTTCAGTGGTGGTCTAAATTAGATCGGTTCATGATTTCAATAAAAATCAATAATTTCTACAACTTCATACTGAAGATAATACTGTCACAAGTGAATGATATCGCTTTCACACATTCAAGTTTTTTTTTATTGTTGACTTCCCAATTACATACAAAAAACCTAAACTACTATACATGCAATAAATATTTGAAATGTAAAAATAATATCCATAGGAAGTGAGAAACATAAGCTGCTTAAATAAATTTGTATTTTAAACAAGTATATAGTAAAACATGCTTGAAAGATTAGCACTGAAAAAAAAGAAAAATTAAACTATACTAAAACACTATGAAAAAGAGATATCTAGTATCTTCTATCTTGTGTACAAATTGTTCTAAATAAAATATAAATGATTCATAAAAACAAAACAAAAGAATGTGAGGCAAATTTCTGTTATCATACACTTATGTTTCATTGAAATACATAACTAAATTTATATGCTTAACTACAAAAAGTTCTTTTTACTGTTTTTTATACATATTTTTTATCATCTAAAACAAATCAATAATCTAGTAGGCAGAAATGCTTATTTTTTCTCAATATGATGTAATGAACCTATTATATTATTTTTTTATACATGAATTGAGCATATTACAGACAATTATTCATATAGAAATTTGTATTAATACTATTTGAAGGTTTCATTACAACTATAGAGATTAAAGTATAACAAAATAAATACAAAACATGCTAATATATAAGATGAAAAATGTATTAAGTGAATATTTTCCCCATTCTTTAAGAGACATATAATGTGAAAATAGTTTTCAGTAAATAGCAGAATATTTTATTTAATTTATAAGATAATATCTGATAAACAGTTAAATATTAACTTGATTCCTTCAGAAAAGTAAACTAACTTATGGAATTTCAATAATAAACAGATTTTGAAAAAAAAATGAGCCAGTTAACCAAACCGCATACTCAGCAGTGAGCATACACGATCCTGCACACAGGACTCGAGTCCGGGACCATCGGTCTCGAGAGCGAAAGCTTAACCTCTAAGACCACCGAACCGGCATCCAACGGTGTTAATGCCTAGTTTCAACCAATTCAAGATATTCTGCGAACGTCTCATACTAGAATGAAACTGCTGTCCAGTCCAGTACTTCCAAGTTTTCAATGGCGGCCCAACATTGACCTATTGATGATATCAATTTAAACCCAACAAACTCCACAACCCTAAACTGATAATCTAATAAAAGTCAAGTTAGAATTGAGTTGAAAGCCGAAATTTCGAGAAAACAAGGTTCAATGTATATCCTTTGGTGAAAGAGTGCAGATAAGCACACGTTTTCAGAGGAATAAATAGGTTAATAAAAGCCTGGTGGCAGGAGAATCTGGGCGATATGGGTCAGAATCGATCTAAATAACCCAGAATTACTCAGTTCTCATTATATATACATTGAAGATCCCCATTAAATATTGTACCTCAAACCAATTAATATACTTTTATTTATCCCAATTTCCTTTTAAGTTTTTGGTTTTATCGCTACATGCCTATGTGAAGTACAGCAACAGGAACGTATACACCTTTATGTCAGGCTACTAGTGAGTTTTAATTTTTACAAAGTTTTTGCGTAACGATTCACTAATCCTATTTATTTCCGGTTTACTTACTGAATTATCCAAAACACTTTCATATCACTAAACTATTTCACAACGAGATTAGTTTCGAAAAACACAAGTCAAAATTAATATACTATGAACAGTTAACTTAAAAATATTGTTCATAACAAAAACGTATTTCAAAATTAATGAATTCAATCACTGACACAATATTCTCCATAATGCAGATATTTGTCATCGTCAATATATGCGTTTCCTTTTAATTAAAACCCACTGTTTAAATGAAAATATCTACTGAATATTTTATTTATTCAGTAACAGTTGTGCACACTTTTTATCTAGCTGATGTGTAGAAAAGTTGTTTATCAAAGCTACTATTACTATCAGTAATTCTAGTATGCGTAAACAAATTACACAAATTAAGTGATGTAATCTCTTTATGATCAACATTGTCAACTGTAGTTCTATTTATAGTACACAAGTTCAACTTAATAGGAAATAATGCCAACTTAATATTAATGATAATTTTTTTGAAAAAAAAAAACAAATTATAACCAAACCAAAACTCCTACTTATTGATCACTAAAGTTATTACAAATATTTTATTGTTTAATCCTTAATCCCAGTCAAGTTATATCAATAAGATTACAGCATGGCCGATAGTCTAAATAACCTATTATGGAGATGCACTTTATGACATATCTTTAAGTTAAAGATAGTTGGAAGAATCTGAACACAGATTTTATTCAAGCTGAAACTCAGCTGGTAATACGTGCCTACAATCTAAAGAGAACTAATGCTACACGTCGAATTTAAACATACATCATCTAGTGTCACATTTAATGACATAACCACTAAGTGATTTGATCAATCTCTGCCCAGTAATCAATCAATTGTAAGTATATTTAGTAGAAATGAGAAAAAAAATTTCTTCCTTAAGAAAAAGATCAAATACAATAATAGTACTGTTTTAAAACAGAGAATCATAAATATTACTAACTAATCAACTTACTTCATTGAGAAATTCTATCATTTTATCTGCATGTATGTGACTTTTGCCTTTTGATCTACAAAAAGAAAATAAAAAAACATATAAATAACTTTCAATGAATTAGATAGGCTAAATCACTTCAATAGAAGTAGATACACTCAAATTCGTAGTCACATATTAACTATTATTGTTATTTGTTAAGGAATTATTGAAAGTGAGATTATATCCAATGTTACAATACAATAGCTCGAGACTGAAAAAAACCCTATTACCGGATTAATTAAATTAAATTATACCAACAGTTTTGACGGTGGAATGTAATATAAATTGAAAGCCAAAAACAGAGTTACTGTAATACAATTAAAATACAAACGTCATTAATTCGTAGTTTACTCCAAAGGTGAATATTCTAGACGAACAAAAAGTTGAATTTACAATCTAGTTATCAATCGGTTAGTCAGATCAGTGATAAATAATTCCGAGTGTAGCATAAATGTATATCAGATGAAGTTGCCGTAAACGTATAACAGAATTCAAAAAAGTATATTATTATTAATACAGAAACTGATTCGATTGACATGAGTATACTTTTGTGTTTCAAATGATCTAAACTAGCCACTTTGTTCATAATTAAATACGAATTGTATCTTTGTTAATTTGGCTTTTTTTCTGCCCCCAAATGCCCTGGTATGGTCGAGAGTGAGGAGAGTCCGCTCTCCCTCTCGAAATGCTCTTACATGGCCACGCGTAGATAGCCTCTGCCAGGGAAGTCCTACTCACTGCCTTCTCGTGGCGGGTGTGTTGTTTACGAAAATGAGAGGACGAAAGGCGAATGTCCGGCGCTTTAACCGGATCCCAAACCAATGGTGCACATGGGCTCCAGTATCCTGCCTGAGGGAACAAATGGCGTATGAACCAATCGTTGGTCACCGGCTACCATGGGACTGCATCTCCTTACGATGCTCCACTGCCATGTGGATCAGATTTTCAGGTCGAAGGCTCTGGGTGTGGCCCCCTAAGAAAACCACCTGCTTCGGTTTGGGCACCCGGGCAGTTTTACATCCCTCACACATATCCAATGAGATCTATGTGGAGCATATGTATTTGGTACCTCCTTGTACCGATATCTATGTGTTAAAATAAATAAATAAATAAATAATGGCTTATTTTCTATAAAACACCAGAAAATATTCACATATAATAGCCAAAACAGTAAGGCGACAACTGGATAATTTTATTGTGATAGGGAAACATTGAAATGATTAACAATAGAAGTGAAGAGTTGTTTTTTATAGACAAGAAGCACATTCCAATAAGCAAAAACTTATATATCGTTGAAATACAGTATTACGAATTAATTACACAATAATTGAGTTATTTATTACAAGATGTAAGCTAAATCGGGAAAATAAAGCGAGACGAACTTCTGCCCTAATTAGTACAATTAGTACAATGTTAAAATTCTAACAACAATTATTCTAGACATGAATAACGTAGATAGAGCGTATTAGTAAACTTGGTTGTTTTTTAATTTAATAATCAATCCCAAAATATGAGACCAATAGTCTACCATGATAATACAATTATCAACCGTACACGAATCGAAATGATTTTGAATAATAATTAATCAGCTAACACTATGTGATTCAGTAAATGATAGTAGAGTATCGCTACAAATTTCGATTTAAATTATTCTTATCAATTAAATAATGAAGGATAAAAGCTCGATTAGTTTGAAAACGGTTTTTGTAACATGATATTTTGACAGAGCACTCATAGGGCATTAGAAGGATAATTTGACCGTGTTTGCGAAACGAAATTAATTATAGCAATTCATGATAGGTTATAATTGACCACATATAACATTAGAAAAATAAAAGCAGTAAGTGGTTACTAGTGAATTTCAGATCTTATTTGATCATGAATGATGCAATTCATGGGAAGAATTAAGGACTATATGCATCACAATCAATCAAGTACATATTTTACGAAAAATTGGAAATTTGATTAGACCTTTAAAGCTGTTGAACTATTTGATAGACAATAAAATAATAACTGGTAATAATGACGCCACACAAATGAGAGACAACGATAGATTAAAATTTAATTCTACTAATTTTCCATATTAAATAAAAATTAAAAAGGTAAATATTATATGGAGTAATCCCTAGGGAAGTTATAAATTCTTCGTCAGTCAAAGATAGGATAACAGCTTACAGTGAAATAAATTTAATTATTATCCAAATGGGAAAATGTTTTTTTAGTCTTAAAAAGGAAAAAAAGACATTCGAAAGGATAATCACGTTTACATAGTATATAATAAGCGATAATAAATAATATTAGAATATGAAGTCTTATGATCACTGGAAACACGATATGAAAGATTTAGGAATTCACTAAATCCAACTTGAAATAGTTCATAATACCTATGTTTGATGAATATAAATTAATCTAATGTATCTATTATAAGGTAGCAGTAATATAAGTAGTAAAGAAATATATTGAAAATATACTCAAACAGCACAGAACAATGAAAAAAATTATCTACCGATACACAGACTTACAGAGATTTAAATAAATCTTCAATATCTGTACGAGGACATATTTTATGATATAATTCGTAGAATTTTTCAAATGGGAATTCATTTGGATCAATATCATCATTCTAAATTTTGAAAGAAAGCACGACGAATGAAAAGTAACAACAATACTAACTTCATTGGAATCATGAACCTATCAATGTTAGAGCACTATTGAAAACCTGGAAGCACTGGGTAGCCGCTTCGTCCTAGTGTCAGTTGTGAGACATTTACCTATTGAAGACTATGAAAACCGGTTGAGCGGTATCGTGGATTCGAGGATGAAACGACCGTTCAGGGCTTCCAGAATCCCAATGATCGTCTAATATTGATCGGTTCACGATTTCAATGTAACTGAACAATCTCCACAGCCCTAAACTGAAATAAATAAAAATAGAAATAACAATTATTATAATCATTACAAAAGGCAACAAAAAAATTTAAAGCATACCTTTCCATGAGGTAAATTTAAATCTTTTAAACTTTGATATACAATTCGTTCATTACGACCTGAGGCAAAGGTTTTCATAATTACACGGACAGGAATTCGATTACGAGCATTCAAAGTTAGTGTAAGTCGTAGCCAACTAAAACAGGAAAGTAATTTTTCTTTAACAAACAAATTCATAATTGCAGAAACTAAAAAAAGATAAATAATTATTTTCTGAATAGATCGATTTCTATGGTATATTAAGCAATCTACAATGAACTACACTTCGTCCTGATTTATGTGATCATACAATTTTACTATGAAATAAGTTGATCAACACACCGCATCTCAAGAACAAAAGATAATAAAAACTGTACTTTCTCTATAAGTCTCTGTAAAATTATTTAAATTATGAAACCTTTAAGGGTATTCTAGAAAACATTCTGTACAAAATCTATGCGCAAATATTTGAAAAAAAAAGAAATTCAAATGTATTTGAGATTTACAAATGATTCATTTTTATGTCAATAATTCTTTCATTAATCCGCGAATTCTTAAACGAATTCAGTAAAACTTGGAAGAAAAATATATATATAAATGATGTACTAGAGGTTTAACTAGACAATTTATATCACAAATATAAACATGGATATACACTTCTATATTTACATTTATAAGTGTAAACATAACGCAATCAATGGTGATCATTTTATATTTCAAGATGTAATTTAAAGAGTAAAGCTGAAATCTAATTAAACGGGACAAAAACAAATTACGCTTCTCGATACAGAACTAGTTGCATATTCATAGGTGATTATAATAAGATGACAACACAAGATTCAATTACTTCTTGAAGTATTATAAAAAAGATATTAAATCTCTTTAACAAGTTTAATTACAAAGCTATGAGGATAACCAGTTTTATCAAATGAAAATTTAAACAATATACAGTATCACATACTAAAGTAAATGAGCTATTTCTTATCCATTTACTGAAACTGTTTAAGCTACAATATAATAACCACGTATAGGTAGAATAGTACTATAGGTATGGTATAATAGAATTGCAGAACAGAGAATAACACTAGTCGAGAGATGAAATGAAGGGGTATTTAAAAAAAGGAACGTTGAATCACATAATATAGAGAAAGCAAGATGAAGATTGAATAAGTCAACTCCATTGTAAATGATTTAGAGCTAATTAAATAAACGTCTTCAACCACCAATCACGGTTAACACTGAGATATCGAATAGGTGGTCTACATCTACCAACATGACTCAAGTAAACAGTTAATGACTTCATAGACAGACTCTAGATTTTCCTTTTTTAATGCCATAAATTTCTTTAACTCCGCCTGGAGTCCCTCCAGAGGCTACTGCCGGTCCCAAGCCCGGATAAAGGAGGAGGGTTGGACATAAGGTTAGCGACCCCATCCCAAAGAAAACTAACTCGCTAAAAAACGCTAACCAGAAAAATTATTCAAACCATTTAAACTCTGCCCTGGGAGTCAGAAGGTCTTCGTTTAGAAGAATTATGACGCCTCATGATGAAAGCCGAACGCCATCGGTAGTCACGAAGCCGACGCCCCTTCTGACAACCAGAGCAACCATTTATTTAGGTAAATGGAATGCTCGCACAATGTGAGAGACTGGGAGAGTTTTCCAAATTGCTGCAGAAATGAGGAAATACAACCTAGAGGTGCTTGGGATCAGTGAAACACATTGGACGCAAGTTGGACAACAACGACTAGCTTCAGGGGAGCTGCCGTTATACTCCGGACATGAAGAAGAAAATGGACAACACCGGATATGAAGAGATCATGGGACGACACGGACTCGGAGAAAGGAATGAAAATGGTGAGAGATTTGAAAATCTATGTGCCTTCAATAAACTGGTCATAGGCTGCACTATATTCCCACATAAACGCAATCCACAAAATGACATGGACTTCACTGGATCACACCACACAAAACCAAATCGACCATATATGCATCAACAAAAAGTTCAGGAGGATGATGAAGGACGTGAGAACCAAGAGAGGAGCTGATATTGCATCAGATCATCACTTGCTGGTCGCCAAGATGAAATTGAAACTCAAGAGGCACTGGACAACGGGGCGGACAATATCACAAAAGTTTAATACGTCTCTTCTTCGGGATGATGACAAACTCAACAAATTCAAGATAACCCTCAGCATTAAGTTCCAGGCCTTTCATGATCTACTCAATGGAGAAGAAACTACTATGGAGAGCAACTGAAAAGAGATAAAAGAGGCAATCACTTCAACATGTCATGATGTTCTGGGCCAAAAGAAGCACCATCACAAGGATTGGATCACGATCGATACACTGGATAAGATTCCAGAAAGGAGGAACAAGAAGGCAGAGATCAATACCAGTCGAACAAGAGCAGAAAAAGCCAAGACACAAACTGAATACACAGAAGTAGACAAGCAAGTGAAGAGCAGCATCAGAACTGACAAACGTAAATATGTGGAAGATTTGGCAATGACGGCGGAAAAGGCTGCCAGAGAAGGAAACATGAGACAACTGTATGACACAACAAAGAAACTCTCTGGAAATCAGCGTAAACCAGAACGACCAGTGAAAAGCAAGGAAGGCAAGATAATCACCAACATTGAAGAACAACGAAACAGGTGGGTAGAACACTTCAAAGAACTCTTGTATCGACCAGCCCCACTGAACCCACTCAACATCGAAGCAGCACTCACGGACCTCCCAATCGATGTTGGCCCACCAACAATTGAAGAAATCAGCATGGCTATCAGACAAATCAAGAGTGGCAAAGCAGCAGGACTAGACAGCATTCCAGCAGAGGCACTGAAAGCAGACGTAGCGGCAACTGCAAGGATACTCCAAACTCTCTTCAGAAAGATTTGGGATGAGGAACAAATACCGACAGACTGGAAGGAAGGACTTCTGGTCGAAATACCAAAGAAAGGCGATCTCAGCAACTGTGACATCTACAGGGGTATCACTCTTCTCTCAATACCAGGAAGTCTTCAATAGGGTATTGTTAAACAGGATGAAGGACTGTGAAGACGCCCAACTTCGCGACCAACAGGCACACGCAACAACAAATGCAGGAGAAGACGACCAGTGTAGCAGCAGCTTCAGAAGCAATAGGTCCCAATATACACGAAGGGAAAAGCAAGATTCTCCGGTACAACACAGCATGTACCAATAGAATCACAATTGACGGAGAGGATTTGGAAGATGTACAAACCTTTATTTATTTGGGCAGCATAATCGATGAACACGGTGGATCTGATGCAGATGTGAAGGCACGGATTGGCAAAGCAAGAGCATTATATTTACAACTAAAGAACATCTGGAACTCAAAACAATTGGCAACTAAAACCAAGGTCAGAATTTTCAATACAAAGGTTAAGACAGTTCTACTGTATGGGGCCGAAACCTGAAAAACTACGAAAGTCATTATCCAGAAGATACAGGTTTATTAACAGTTGTCTACGCAAAATACTTCGAATCCGTTGGCCAGACACTATTAGCAACAACCTACTATGGGAGATAACAAACCAGATCTCAGCGGAGGAAGAAATCAGAAAGAAGCTCTGGAAGTAGATAGGACACACATTGAGGAAAGTACCCAACTGCGTCACAAGACAAGCCTTCACATAGAATCCTCAAGGCCGAAGGAGGAGAGGAAGACCAAAGAACACATTACGCCGGGAAATGGAGATAGACATGAGAAAAATGAACAAGAATTGGATGGAACCAGAAAAGAAGGCCCAGGACAGAGTGGGATGGAGAATGCTGGTCGGCGGCCTACGCTCCATTAGGAGTAACGGGCGTAAGTAAGTAAGTAAGATTTCTTTAAATCAGCTTCGGAAGCAGCAAAGATAGTTCAGTGAGACACATGATAATGAGGCATGCATAACATATATATTGTATTCATCTCAGTCGATAAGGATACAATAACTTATCAATGATATGAATCCAGGATATTGTTGTTGTTTAGAATTATGTTCTGCATTACAATAGCAAAACGACCATTAAGCTACTTACTCTGTGTAAAGATAAAACATTGGGAAGGAAATATTTCACTAAGATTTAGTTATCGTTACTATTATTTCATCCAATAGGAATAAATTAAAATGAATATTACTTACTGTTTTCTTAATTGAGTCATAGGGCAAACATTAGCCGCTTTGGTATTATGCGTTAAACTACGAAGAGATTGTATCCAAAACTAAAAAGATATTGATAGTATAACACAAAAAAATAAATATGTGAAATTTATATAACGACCATATAGTAATAACAAAATTGAACACTGAACACTAAGTAACACAAATTAAAACCGACACTTACAGTGATATCATAGTAAGCAGTGAGGAAAATATATTATTATTCATCAAAAGAGAAACTCGTAAGTCAACTATAGTGTTATTTAGGTGATTTATTAATTTGAACTACACTTTAATCGTGGTTGTAGCTGTGCTAAATATCCGATTCTTGATATAGGCAAATTTATGAAGTAAAAAAGTTACCAAAGTTTAAATCCTGAATTTATTTTAACCAGACGACTATTGAAAATCCTAAATTACTGAATATCTGTTTCACCCTAACCACCTGAGTCTTATTTGGATTCAAGTATTAATTGAGACTGGTGGTTGAAGATGTTAAGTAATTTAACCCTAGGCTAATAACAATGAAGTAGATTTATTCAATCTTTATCTTTCTTCCTCTACATTTTGTGATTTAGTATTCCTTCATACATATTAATTCGTTCCATCTCTCCTTACCATATTCCGTAATATTTAATCTTTTTTATTATGGTTGATACTACATTATTTTGATAAATTTGTTATTTATCTTGTTAATTACACCTTTTCAAGTTACTTAGTAACTTAGACCAAGGCATATTCATAACAGGTCGTACATTAATTAAAACAGATTGACTGACTCAATGATACTCAAAGATACTCATAAAATTGAATGAATGTTTGTAATTTACAGTCCAACATAATCCTATTGAAATTTATTCCGACTAACCCTGAAAAACATTTTTTTTCTTTTAAAGTAGACCAAAGTCTTAGATAATATAGCAACTATTAAAAGAATCATATGACAAAGAGAAAAGAAGAAAAAACCGCGTCAGAATTGACTTGAATTCACAATGGAATAATGTATATTTTAATAATTAAAAGCAAAGAAAAAAATTTTATGTTAATCAATTTGATTTTGGTGCAAAATTCAGTTAACCAGCAACAATAACAACAAAGAAAAAACCACCTGTATTATAAATGAACAGAAAGAATAAGAACTACAAAAGATATACACAAACAATGATCTTTACAAAGAATAAATACATATTTAATGTGGTTAATTATCTACAACTATTTCGTCTACTTATTTTCACTTGTTAATAAAGAAAACTCTTGTAGATAATGAGTATAATAAAAAAAGTTAGATAGAAAAACAAAGTTGAATGGTAGTTTCTCTCTTGTTCTAAGACATTATTTGTTTAAAATCATCACAAATCGATCGATGTTAGACCATCATTGAAAACCTGCAACCACTGAACGGACATTTCGTCCTAGTATAGGACTCTTCAGCAGTGTGCATCCACGATCATATAAGCAGGAGTAGAACCCAGGACCTTTGGTCTCGCGCACTACTGAAGAGTCCCATACTAGGACTAAACGGCCGTTCAGTGCTTCCAAGTTTTCAATGGTGGTCTAACATTGATCGATTCATGATCTTAATCAAAAACTTAACAATCTCCACGACCCTATACGGATATTATGTTTTTTTCAATAACACGAATAATCAAAAGTTAATTCAAAAAAAAATAGATAGGACTTATTTTACTAAGTAATAAGATGGTAATTCTTTAAATAAAATGAAATACACCTCAAGATATTTTCATTTGGCTAATGATTGACAACTGAATGAAAACAGACACGGCGCTCTGTAATTCAAGATGTAATTGACAATTCTTATATTATGATTCTGATCCATTTGATTAATGTAAATTAGATTTCACTGTATATGCTTCTGCACTGTTGATTAAATTTGCGTCAGTATAGGAAGTGATCCAGTATAGTGGTCTAATTAATGATCTAAGTGTATCGATCGAATATTCTATTACTACCATTCAGTGTAGTAATTTGAGTGCAAGAATAGAAAACTTGTTTTTTGAATCTTACATCAATAGTGGAAAGAAAAGAAAAAGACAAAATTGTAGATAGAATACAAAGAAAAATTGCACATTCAGAATAGATCATCTGCAATACTCGAAATTGTGGAAATAATTAGAAGAAAATGAGCGATTTCCGATATTCTCATTACTAAGTTAATCATTTGAGAAAGCGATGTGTTGATTCACATCAACAGGTTTGAATAATTTCAAATATTCCAATAAATTATCAAGTGAATGGACACAAGCAAATTTAAACAAACCAATAATAAACGTACATAAACTGTAATGTTAAGAATAATGTTCAGTTTAATAAATTCGATGATAAGACGAACATTTATGATGGTATATTTTTAGCAATGATAGTACAACTGCTAAATATGAAATGTATGCATTACTCAATTTTTCATTGGCACTTATTCATGACATACGCACTACATTAATTATAAGCCCCCAAATTCTCTGGAAAGGTCGAGGGTTGAGAGTCATGGGTATACGGTTTTATCCAAAGAACTCCTATACACTGCCTTCTCACAGCAGGGGTGTTGATTACGAAATTGAGGGAACAAAAGGCGAATGTCCAGCGCTCTAACCGAGTTTTTGGACATGGAGGAACCACCCTGATTTCAAACCAATAGTACACATGGAATCCAGGATCCTGAGGATAAAATGGTGTGCGAACCGATTGTTAGTCACCGGATACCATAGGATTGCACCTGCTAGCGTTGCTCCACTGTCTTTTGGATTCGACCTCTACATCTAAGGCTTGAGGTGTGACCCCCCAAGAAAACGACCTGTCTCGGTTTGGGAGCCCCGACAGCATTCCAGCCTTCATACAAATCAAATGATTTCTGTGGCGCATATATATTCGTTGGCTTATTATAGCAATGTGTATGTGTTTAAACAAACAAATAAATATTAACTATAAAATAATGATATTTTGATAATATCCCAACGAGTAGAAACAAGAAATTCCGACATTTTATGATTAAGTGTAAATAAGTAAATTCAATAAAATCAGCACTAAATTGTATAGAGGAACAGGCAGAATATTTGGTTCACTCAAAATCAAATAACATTGAGATCATGCAACCATCAAGATTAGACAATCATTGAAAATCTACAGACACTGGATAGGAGTTGCGTTCAAATACGGGATTTCCCAGTCATGCACCCACCCACGAACTTACAAGGGAAAGTCAAACAAAGGGCCTTAGGTCTCGCGTGAACGGTTAACATCCACACCATTAAGCCGGTATACAACAGCATTAATGTCTAAATTCAATCAATCAACGACATTGAGCGATCATCGTCTATTATCTTCAGGTGTATAACTGCCTCATACTTGATACGGTTTGGTTCCAGTGCTTTCAGGTTTTCAATGGTGGTCTAACTTAGATCGGTTCATGATTCCAGTGAAATTGAGCAATATCCACAACCACATAATGAAAAATCAAATTACATCTGATTATAACGATGCTACATCATTTATGGTCACGGCGATTCTTTGTGAGATATTAACTGTGTGTATTTGTGCGAACGCTAATGTATGTGTAAAATGTGGAATTTGTAATGCGGAGTAGAATTGAAATTTAAATGTGTATGTCTACTACTGCTATGGGAAGTAAGTAAAATTTAATGTGGTTATCTGGATAAACCGCTCAAATTGAATGGATAATTAGGACATGCTTTATATTAAGCGAACAGGGACTAAGCATCAAATTATTCGTTTTACATATTCGGCTTTCTTGATCATGGTAAAAAACCTTCCTGGATTATTTTGATATTTTCAATATCAATATAGCCGTTCTTAAAAATAGCATGAACGACTATTGTCGATTTGAGTTCTCGATTTTCGAATTCTACAGGAATATTAAGAGGTCTTTCTTGTGAAGGCAAAGCTGTCTCTAAGCGTGAGTCATAAAGACTCATCAAAATACAATGTATCACACTCGACCCAACGCAATATGTTGACGCAATTGTGTAGAAAATAAAAGATCTTTTCCTTTACTCGGACGAAAGAGTTTTGAAACGTGTTGGTTATAAAAGGCTTTAATTCTATGTAATTTCAAGATAAGTTGTAATCCATCTGTTGTAACATGGCAATGAAGTAAACTATGTGATATCAATCCACGATATCTCATCCGAATTATTATTTGAAGATAGATTAACTCGTTTCAATACGTTATTAATAATATTTACCAAAGAATTATTAAATCACAAGATGTTTATTATACTATCTCATTCCGTTAGCTTATCTTTTTTGGCAGTGATCTTGGCAGCTATTGTAGATAGATTTAGAGCCATAAAACGTTTTTGCACTGAATGGATGTGAGAACTTAAAGTTTATTAAGAACTTATTAAATTTATTGAAATCTTCACTACATAATGATGAAAATATTCATCGCTGTTCACCTTCGTAGTTATAAGTACGTCAATTTCTATGATAATTTTGCTTTTAAAATATTATAGGTTGTAAGCGTCTGATGAGAATTTAGATAAATTAAGTAAAATCATATTATTCTGCAACAATCTATTTTTTTATTTCTTCAAGATAATAAAGAGATTTATGTGTATAAAGTTGATGTATCAATATGAATGTGCCAGTTGTCAATAGATAATTAACTGTAGATTTTCATTATAATCCCTTTTGACTAAACAGTCTACAAATAATAGTTAATTATCAATAGTTGAAATTATGAGTCAATTGAACCTAGACCACAATGGAAAGCCTGGAAGCACTAGACAGTCGTTTCATTCTAGTATGGGACTTCTCAACAGTGCGCATCCACGATCCCGCTCCCCCCCGCGAGATTCGAACCTAGGATCTATCAGTCGGTTGGCATCCAACAGTGTTAATGTCTAACTTCAACCAATCCACGAAATTGCGCCACCTTACGCTATTGTCTTCAGTGAATAAATATCTCACAACAAACCTGGTTGGACTCCACTGGTCACGCCTTCTCACCAGAACTCCATCATCAATATATTTAAAATTTAAATAGTTGATATCATGAGTCAATTGAAACTAGACCAAAATGAATAACCTGAAAGCATTGGGCGACTGTTTCGCCCTATTGTAGGACTCCTCAGCAGTGTGCATCGACGATCCTGCCTCGAAGTTTCGCTTAACCTCTTGAAATTGCCAAGTCTAAACTGAACAATGATAATTACATACTCCATTATTTATATATTTTATTATTCCTATAAGATTTATTCTAATTATTAGGAATTTTATATGAATAAGAAACTGTAGACCTACATTTTTTGTTAGTTAAACATTCTTAACCAATCAATTGTACGCATATTATATTAGACTTAATGGAATTAAAATATTTAAAAAGGTAAAAATGATCATTGTTATTGATAAAATAATATTCTGTTCTTTTTTTATAATAAAATTTCAACGTTTAAATAATACAATACACTTACAGAAGCGGTTTCAGCATCTTTAGCTACCATATGAGTGTAGTTAATATTTACTAAATCTAAACCACTGCATATTGTCACAATACGATCCCATGATTTGCCAGATTTTTCTTGAATTTGTGCAGTCAACTTTTCATCCTTTCAACAAAGAAAAAAATTAATAATAAAAAAAGTGGAAAAATACTAAAATTTGAACTAATAATAAAATTTATACAATTTTTGTTTTACAATTTTATAAAAATTTCAATCATAGTTATATGTAATTGATAGTATTCAAAAAGGTTTTCACAAAACATTTCCAACGTTTAAAGTTGATCATTAAAGAAACATATACTATTGGTTACAACTAGTATTAACTCATATTTATATTTGCATTATACAAATACATGATTTTTTTAGTGGTAGCATCTTTTTTTATTAAATTATTCTGTTAGTTTATTCACTATAATGTTGTTGGTTACAAATAACTTATTATTCAGTTGGAGTTTCAATATTTATTACTACTGAGCTTTATGAAAATATACTGAATGGTGCCTAGCAGTGGACTCGTCAGATGATGTTCTCTACGGGGATCGAACCCAGTGCCAGTCGCCTCAAATGCCATCGTGTTATCCACTCAGTGACTGAGTCCAAATAACCACTATCTTGTACAGTTGGGTCTGGGAGTGGACGTCAATGTTATAATGCAGTTACATCAAGATGACGAGTCCCAAATCAGACGAAATTCACGTCCTGGATTCCACGGCGGCAACCATCCATCTTTGCTTATAATGCTTGTGACTTAAGGCAATATTCAGGAAATCTATACAAGACGCACATATGTCAATAAGACACTGATCAAGTGCAGTCCCAAACATCAATGGGAAGATCCAAACAAGTAATACAAAAATGAATTAAAAAAAGACATCATATCAATCATAAAAATAAGTAAAAATATATTTATATCTAAAGAACTTTTCTAAAAACAATCCATAAAACTGTCATCATCAAAAAAGTTACTGATTATACTTGTGTATATTACATCTTTAATGAACGCTTTAGATGATAAATAAACTAATTGTACGAGTCATGAAATTACTATTCAATACATAGATGAACAAACGTTATAACAATCAAATTAGTTCATTAATCACTGACCCAACTGTGTGTTTTTATCAAAATCAATAAAAAATAAACAGCGTACTTACTGCTTTTACTACATATGCCATTAACTACTTTCATCTGACTAAATAGGAAGTATTGTCTTACTTTATATCATATCTAACATATAGTTCACAATCTTTATCAGATTTAATTTATGCATAAGCTAACACATGTCATCAATGAAATTTTTCTATTTATAAAATGAAAAAGTAAAAGGATATTATTACAAATACAAAACAAATGATAGAAACCGAGTAGTAGCCACAAAAACATTTACATAATGCCAATTGATAAATTACGTATGATATAAAGCTATCGACGCCATAATGCAACTATTGATTTATATTCACTAAGGTTTGAGGAAATGAACGGAATAATATGATGACTTAAGGCGTCTACTGAATTAGATTATTCTACATTATTTTGCTCTAGTAAACGTGGTCAAGACTGACAATAATCGATTGTTCAAAAGTGATTACACTATGAAAACTGTTTGCAATCCTGCAAGTTGCTAGGAAGAAAAAAACGTCAAGAGATTACAAAAGAGTACTCAATATTGGGCTTTAATTTATTTATTATAGTCGCAAGCGTAAATGCTTAATTAGTTCATCATTCTGAAATGCATCTGCCGTCTAAAATAAAGGAGTTTATTGTGGGGATAAATGCTGTGTTTTAATCGTTAATATAGAGGATTTCATCGTTGATCAGTATTGAAAAGATTCTAATTGTTATATCATTAGTATAATGTCAGTAGTAAAATCGTTAGCGAATGTTAAGGTAACCCGTAATTAATATTTTATTTAAGCGTTTATCGTATACTTATTAAAAATTAAATAACTTATACAGGAGACATAGTAAATAAACAAATGGTTATTACTTAATCAAGTATTTTTATAGAAGTTCATGTAGTTTGATGATACTTTTCATCACAAACTGATAATCAATATTTACTTGTATCGTCATAGTTTTCTAGTTCTTTATCATTACTCACTTTAAAATCAAATTCACAATTTTTTTTAGTTTCTCTATTAGCACTTAATGTTTGAATTGCTGAGTTCAAACTAATTAGTGTTTATATTCCTAAATTCGATTATCTTGTAACGATACAACGAAATGTTTAACACTCTCCAGTATGTTATCATTTTAATTTTCAGCAGAAAAACATTACAGGACATAAATCAGTGAATATATGAAAACTGCACAGTCCAATTCTGACTAATATTAAAATAGAATAAAGTAAGCTTATAAATCAAAGAAAAAAAATCTATGAAAAGATATGTATCTATGATCATCTTAAAACTACTGATATATCATAACATTTAATTGATGTTAAGTGATGTAAATTTGACATTATCATCATGTCTAGTTACAGAAGGTAAAGATTAAAAATGCTGAACCATAATTAAAATTCGGCACTCTAACTTTATTTTGTCTAGTTTCTAGTACTTTCTCCCTATTCATTATTATCATTATTATTGTTTTCAATTTCAACATTATTTTTCTATTGTTATATTGTTTGACAAGTCTTAATCCATTTGACAAGCAAAACCCTACAATAGTAACAATTATTATATTGTTACAGTCACTTAGTTACAAAACACATAGTATAATATAATATAATATAATTCAGAAAACTATGAACTTTTTCACCGATTATCATTTATTATGACTACCACTGTTTGTTTATTTATTTGTTTGCTTTCCATAAACTTCGTAGGAAAAGAAACAAATTAAAAACGGAAATGATAAAATGATAAATTGTTTTCTCCAGACAGTAAATGTTTATGTGCAATACGTACACCTGTTAATCTAAATATGGAATGGATGGATGGATGAATAGATAGATAGCTAGATAATTATAATCCCTTGCACCTGGAATTTGGATCAAACCTTTCATTTATATGGAAAGAAAATAATTACTTAAACTAATTACTACAACTAAAGGTACGATTGTTATACTAAAACTACTACTACTACTACTACTACTACTAATAATAATAATAATAATAATAATAATAATAATAATATTGCTGACATGAGAACTAATAAATTATCTCACATACCATATTACTATCAACCAGTAATTTATTATCATCATTTGTGAAGAAAGATTAAGAGAATACACTATTTTTCCTCTAAAAGCAAACCGATTGTCCCTAATTATCAACCATTTGTTATGATCATTCATGAACAATAGAAAGGATAAAATGAATAACAACAGAAGATAACAGATCATCAATGAAAATTATCTGGTATATATATAAAGACCGGAAACTATTCCCAAAATCTAATCACAATGTATACAAACCAAATTGTTAAATTACTGATAGGTAGACATATAATTTCATTTTTTCCTCTACAGATTACAGGAAACAGTTATGATGCCTGAGAACAAAAGTATTCTCTATTAATGTATCTTCATGAAATCATCAGTTATAAATTTCAAATATTTACTGAGTTAAACTGAATTAGATATTCTCTACATTTTAAATAACTAATTAAACCTGTATGATCTAAACGTATTTTTAACTATTATGGAACATAAATGTTTCAATGTTAATCCAGTCTATGTAAACATTTAGAGTTTCAACTTATTCATGAGATTTTCTTACGAAAAAAGATGACTTCAATTATATATTCAACTAGCGAACAGACGTTCCGTAAGATTGAGAAGTATATGTTTACGATGTTAGTTAATTAGAAATTAGGTTTGTATGGAAATGTCATGTTTTCAGTTATGTCATGTTATGGTTTACTGTGTAGTAGTACATAAACCAGTTCAATTTTGTTGTACTTTATTTCTAATTTAATTGAATCAAGGTCACCAGAAAAGTACTCATGTAAAACAAATAATAAAACAGTGACGATACAAAAATAAACGTTATATAAGATACCAGCCTGCATTTGAGCTACCATGATAGAACAGCAGAAAAATATGACGATTGGCGAAAGTTGTATTAGCAAGTTTGAGCTATATGGAGCAAGTAGTAGAATGCCCGTGAAACAGTCTATAAGCTCAACGAGAAATAGATTAACAATTTTCAACTATTCTTGAAACGTCGGTCGGAATTCGTTAAAGGACAATTTATCTGGCCCATTGTTCCGGCAAATCCAAATGTACTTTCCAGTTTTGCATTACTAACGAATACCACTCGACATTCACAGGAAGGATGAGTGTCAAAACTCTGCATAGACATCGTCAAGAAAGCTTATGTTTAACTGTTACTAGGAAAAACTAAATTTATAGTTCACATGATGAACTGACCTTGATAAAACTGTCAAGAAGTCCCATACTAGGACAAAACAGATATCCAGTGCTTCCTGGCTTTCAATCAAAGCTTAAATATCGTCATTTCTCCATGTACACTATAAAACTCCACAATCTCTACAAACCCTATATATTAGTAAACAAAATGATTATTAAAAAACCGAAATTATCTCATCACTCTTCAACTGAAGCGCTTTTACATGAATTTTGGAAAATCGCCAATTCATTGTGATCGGTTACCCCTTAAACAATTACATTCATAATTTTCATATTGAATAATTCACTTTAAGGTATAAATAAAACACAATCTTACAATGAATAAGCTGTTCATTAGCTTGTATGATATCAGAAAAGACTATGTTGAACTTGCAATAGCACCATAACTATGATGAATCCAAGATATCCAGATTTTAATAGTATTAGACAATGTGTTGTACATTTGAATCAAAATAAAAGTCCACTGATATAATGTTGGTATTTATGAGAGTAAAAGAGTAAACAAAACTTTCCATATTCTAAACAAACACGTACAGATCTCATTCCCTAAATTGTTTAACTATTTTATTTCTCTTTAGACTAATAAGAAACCTGAAGACATTTTCTAAAAAAAGTTTCACTTTATCCCAATTTATGTAGAGTTAAATAAGTTGGCTTTTATTTATTACTTCCAGGAAACTAAAATCTTTGAAACCTTGGTAACAGTGTACTTTAACCGTTAGTTTTTTTC